TCCTTTTGGGGTCATTTGTATTTTTATATTAACTAACTATCTGCCTAGTTTTATGAAGATTGAGAGATCAGGGGGATCTAGCCATCGCCCTGTGCCTTTTTACTTGAATTTTCGACGATTTTTAGCTGAAAAGTGACAATGTAAACCCTCAGTAGATATCAAAGATAACATTATTCTATGAAATCCTTTTGATACAATCTGTATATATACATAGTCTAAAAGATGATTCAATTTTATGGCCATTGAGAGACCAGGGGGGTCCCACCGTCATTTTAGCGGTCTCCGGTAGATTTTCACTATATATTTTGAATATTAAACTGGCACTTTGAACCCTCCGTAATAATAAAAGACAAGAAGTCTACCCAAAATCCTTTTGGGGTCATTTGTATCTTTATATTAACTAACTATCTGCTTAATTTTATGAAGATTGGGAGATCAGGGGGGTTTAGCCATCGCCCTGTGCCCTTTTATCTGAATTTTCGACGATTTTTAGCTGAAAAGTGACCATCTCTTTATTTGGCTTTCCATAATTATTTCTATTTCTATTTTTAACTAATGTTACTAACTAAAAGTGATCGTTTGTTTTTGTTTCTAGAAATATCAAGTATAAAAGTACATCTTTGATTGCATTTTATTGAAAAAATCTATATTTCATAAAGACAATGGGCAATTTACATAAGAGTTTATGAGAACAACGGGAATTTAAGACAGCTTGAAGGGGTCATAAAACGATTTCCTAGATATCTTTTTACTCCTTTTATCTATGACTATCATGTTTTAAATGTTATCGAATATTTAGATTTTTATTATTTTCAAAAAAAAGTAAGAAATTTGAATATCAAAACGACTGCTAGCAGCCGGTTGGATATTGAATATCGAATAACGAATAACGAACCGGCTGCTAACTTCACATCCATGTCGAATGGTGTTCTCGACATGTCCTATATTTTTTTTAAAACTTGAAATATATTTATTGAAAATCACCTGATTATAATTTACCTTGTATAACCCAGGGTAGTATATACAAGGGGCCCTGTTTTTACAATGATTGATCGTCCAGGGATAAATATACATTAAAAGACACACTACAATCTACACATTGCCGTTACTTAAAATTGACATTTAAATTTGTACTTTTAACACCTGGATTACATTGTAATGTGTGGGTTAGTGATTTTGATAGTTCACATGCTCGACGCTGTTTATTCATGTGTTCTATATTTCTGTGAGTGGATGTATAATAATCCAAATAGGAAAAGAAAGTAAGTACAAAATTGATAAGTCACTTATTAATGTATAAGGTTTGCTAGAAGTTTAATTTCAGCTACATATTTGTCTTTTATTTTGCAGATAATGATATATATCCATAGATTCAATTAAACTACGCAGTTCCCGTTTTGCATAAGATATCAATTGGCTGGAAGTAAAACTTTTAGACTGATACTTGATTATATTCCTACATTTCCAAATAATCCATTTAATAACTCTATTCATAAGTGTGTTGGTGATGACATTTTTTTTTATTGTAAACGTACAATCCTAGTATGATAAGTTTCTCCTTCATTGGAATATCTGCTGTATTATTCAGCACATTATACTTTTAAAACGCATCAAACATATGTTCCCAAACAATCTTTACAATGACCTATATATTCGACATGTTACGATGAAAAATTGAGAGGTTGTTGAAAAACGTTTGATGTTAATATTAAACCTTACTACAATGTATTCTACATTAAAAAAAAACTGTCTAAATGTGTATATTGACTCATCGTTGGACTTTGTAAATACAGTTGTTTCAAAAACCACGCTTCTTTCGGGGAGAAATTTAATATTCATAGAAATTTTGTTTTGTTATCTACTAGTTCCAAAATAAAATATATATGCTTCATCTCGTAGAGACATAAATCGAGAATGTTGCCAGTATAAATACACATGGATAGCGGCCAAATTTAATATACCACTTTCGAGTTATGTCCTTCACCGGAAAGGTTCGTCAATTATGCGCGCCTTTATAATGTATTTTCCAGATAGAAGAGATCGCCTGCATCCCTGTATTCTAAGGTTTATCAAGCGTCTTCGTGATCGTCACTATGCAGGATAAACTAAAAATAATGTTTGTTCCGTAGGTACTTAATCACATTTCCCAAAAGACAGCAGTGCTGATTATCAATTATAAGAATTTAATTTGCCGAATAACTGGTGCAATACAGCATTTTATTTTTGTAACCACTTGCTCAACATGGAAAGGAAATGACAATGTCCTTAAACGCACGAATGATGTTCACTTAAACCAACGTGTTTGGCGGAAATGTAACAAACTCTAAAGTTGAAGGCAGGGTTAGTACAGAATTTCAGTATAAGTATTAACTCTTTAAAGTTGAGGCATATAAATGTTAATACTATTCTGCACAGCCATATGTCTTGACCTTTGAAAGTAGAACATATACACTTTCCGTTCTAAGATATAATTTTTTACGAAACTGTTTAGTAAAAGTGGCACAGTTTCAGCCGTAAGGAGTTCCTATGAGAAATTACATTGTCTATATTTACAGAAGTGAAACCTTAACGTTCAGTGGCAAATATTCCACACATAGTAGGGCGAAGAAACCCAGAAAAACGCACCGAACACATTTTTAAAGTTTTATTTAAATTTTAAATATGATTTACCTAATTAGTATAAATTCTTTCAATTGCTGTTTCCCAACGATTATAAACTACCTCCACAGGAATCCTTTTTCATAGAATTTTCGCTTCTATGACTCACATACAGAAACCTTAGATTAAAACTACCTCATCATGAGAAATGTAAGTCAATCTTTACTATCTGAATATATTGATGTATATGTTCTTTGTGAAATTCTAAAATTGACTGACTTGTGGTTTCGGTTGGATAATGTGTTATGTCTTATCGTTTCTGGTTAAAAGTCTGTACTTTCAGTACATTTCACATATGTCTTATTTGTCAGGATAGTCGAGTTATAATTTCCATTTTCCATGGATAAAGTATTGTGGTAGTCCAAATAAATATCACGTCGTCACAGGATTTATTCAAAATAGCCTTCAATACCGTCATTATCATGATAATTGTTTGGACTAGTATTGTGAAATAACTGTGTGACTTTCAAGATTACATATTCGTTATAAAGATACGTCACTGTTTGTGATGTTCTCTGCTCTCTGTTGTCAATGGAAGATGTTCGTTGTTATTCTGCGATTTACATTTGGAAACGACAGTTATGATATTTGTTTGTGTGCGTTTCTCTGTAATGATTCTTCTTGCATTTGTTTGTGCTGTATTTCTGTCACGTAGTGTTGTCATTATTTTGTTACATTGTCATATAAGCAGGAGTTTTGGCTAGCAATAAAACCAGGTTCAATCAACCATTGTTTCTTAAAATGTCCTGTACCAAGTTAGGAATATGGCAGTTCTTATCAAATAGTGTCTATGTTTGTTAGCGTTTGTTTTTGTCGCATTTCAGTGTTTCTGTTGTTCCTTTGCTTTCCTCTTACAGTTGATGCGTTTCCCTCGGTCTTAGTTTTTAACCCGGATTTGTTTTCTTTGAACCTATTTGTGTCTTTTGAACAAGAAGACGCCATCCTTGCAGACATAGTACCATATAATCCTGTCAAATCCAATGCCCTGCTCATTTTTCTTGTTGTTAATTGTTTCTAATGTATCATGTCCACCAAAAACTGTATGTTCAGTAAGTAATTTCTTACAAGCAACTGTTTGAATGAATTTTATTCTCAATGTTGATGGCTGCTTAAATGTCCGAGAAAATTAATGATCACGTTATTTTATACATAGCTAAATGCCTTTGTCAACCAATGCATATGAGTGAATATATATTATTTCTTCAAGTGTCAAGACCATGAACTTATTGGACATGTTTGGGCAGTGTCGTTGAAGAATTAGGATTCGAAAAAAAACATAATTTTATACACCAGGTGTATGTGTATTGTATGTGAAACGAAGAATTACAAGCAATAACTATACAAAACAATCTTGTAATAGAGAGTTGTTTATTCAAATTAAAACACATTCACAGTTCACTATTTCAAGACACTATTTTGATATGCATACAAAACATGTTTAATCTATCTAATTATATATACGTTGATAACCTATGTCATAATCCTTTACTACACTACCCAGGTGACGATAGGTAATCTAAAAAATAAACCTCCCAGCTGAATTCAGACGCAATTTGAAATTGTAAGTATTTATTAAAAATGTATTCTTCTGCACAACTGTGGTTGCATCTGCTGATTTAATGTATATACTTATATCTAGTAAGTTATTTATTATAATTTCACTGTCGATTAAAGGACAAAATATTTAATAAGTCAAAATAGTCGAATATGTAAACATTGTAAGTAGCATCATGAAATGTAGGGCTGCAGTAAATGGAACAGTAGTATAACCATGCAAATTATTGTGTGTGATTGATGTTGTTTGTATATTGACATAGAAGTGTTATCATTTTTCAGCAAAATGTTAAGTTTTTCATAATTAAACCAGAAAAAGACATGGTAATACACCGATTCATTTTGCTATACAAAAACAGTGATAAGGTATCAATTTTGACAGAAAATAGACGTAATTAAGGTTCTATTTCAAATACAGACTACAAAACATCTTTTGAAAGTGTTACTGCGTCTTGAACATTTGAGATAATGGTATTTTTCCTGTGTTATCAAAACTAATTGCTTATAATTTGTCCCTCGGATATGCGAAGCTTACATCTAACATAACATAACATGTTTAAACAATAGGACGATCTTTCTTACGAGAATGTCTGATCATAATAATGAAACACGATACTGTACACGATGAATAAATTAAGCATACGCCTTATATATATCATTGTATTCATGTCCATAAAGTCTTGTGAATGCATACACATAAAATTAGGAGATATGGTATGATTATCAAAGACAATTATCCACCAAATGATATACATTATATGGATCAAAAGTAAGCAATAACAGGCCCGACTAAACCAGATTTGACGCTTTTGTTTTAACTAAAACGAAGAAATTAGTAATTATATTTCTGCACGAAATTTTCATATTTAAAGCGAAATGACAAATTAAAGAATAATGCTAGCTACTTTTCATTCCTGTTTATAATTATCTGTGTGAAATCATAGAAATAAAGGAACAAGATGTATTCAATCGGTGTTTTAATTTATTTTGACAGATACAAAACTAGAACTTAAAAATGTAAACTGTATAAGTTACCACAATGGACAACAGCTTAATAAGATGTGAAAGGGTGACAAAAGAGGATTATGAGAAAGTGATGGCTATTTTACCCCCATCTGAGATATATAATGGCGGTGACTATCTTCCTGATTATTTCCATCTGCTAATTGATATGCCAAACAACGAGATGTATGCTGCTGTCATTGGAGATAAATTTGTATGATTACATTTTATTTAAGCTTTGTCAAAACTAGTGTTTATTCCTCTATTTATTCAATCATAAACAATGCATGATTTAGAATAAAAGGCTTGCGATAAAGAGAAACAAAAAAGAATCATTGCAACAACAAAAATACGAAACACGACTTAAAGACAAACAACAATTTACAAAACACTTCATCAAAAACTAAAATCTGAGCATCAATAATCCAACCAAAAAAACTGGGTTATCTAGGGTTCTCGGAAGGATAAGGAGATCCTCCGCCATACTCATTTAAGATATGCATTCTACATTTCTCTGTTAGCTGCAACTGGTTTGTGACTTAATGACAAATATGTGTAATTTCAGAACTTATCAGGATTGGAACACATGCGGATAAGGTATATTGTTCAAGCCAGATTTGTTCAACGAATCTTAATAAGAGTTGCTTGACGGGCGTCACTGGTGGAACCAAAACTGCTGACTCATCGACAATGGACCGGACCATTGTTTGTATGGGGGTCGTGTGGCTTATCTTTCGTTCTTTGCTTAATGGTTGATTTTTGTTTGTCAAATACTCGATTTGTTTGTAAGCATCATGGAAAAATGTATCTTTTGCTTGATAGTTTTTGATTGAGCTTCTTTAGTATTTTTGTCAATTGCTTGTTTTTTAAATAGATATGAAAAAAGTCGATTTAGGAGCCTGAGATTATAATGTTTATGATAGTAAATAATTATTTCATACTTTAGGTAGGATTTGCTTTAAAGACAACTATAGATGATGGTAGAAGTGTAGTTACTAGGGCAGTGAGAGTCTCCAAAGAATATGCTGGTAAAGGAATAGCTGGAATAATGTCAAAATGGATGGATATAGGAGGACCTCTTTACCGACCGGAAGTAATATGGCATAAATTTTCAGGAAATAGAACTCATTCACCATTACTTCAACTGACTGACAAAGGAATATTCAACAAAACATCAGAACAAGTTAGTTTATCAAGTCAGACCAAAAAGAAATTTATATGCTTGTTTCCTACCTCCAATCTTACAAAATGGGATAGGTAGGGAAATCATTTTGTGTATTATGCTTATGAACTTGACAATACATCCAATTGAAATGTGCTATTAAAAAAAGGCGAAAATTATAAGAGGGACATTCAAACCCATAAGTTGAAAATAAACTGTCAACGCGATGGCTAAAGAGAAAAAAGACCAACAGACACACAATAGTACACAAAACACAACATAGAAAACTAAAGACTGAGCAACACAAACCCCACTAAAACTGGGGGGTGATCTGAGGTGCTCCTGAAGGTTAGGTAGATCCTGCTCCACATAGGGCACTCGTCGTGCTGCTCATGTTAGTACAAACACGTGAATAAGTATAATTTGGTAGGTTACATTTGGAAAAAGGGGACAAAATTGTATTGACATACTATAATAGTCAACCAACTCGTGATTACGTCTGTAAACTTTACGAAGGAATGATTTTAATTTCACCACTTGAAACTCTTAGTCACATTCGGGAAAGGTCGGACGGGATTGTAGTTACGACATAAGGAACATGTCCGCTATCATCTGTGAAACGGATATTCCATAACTGTCAACCAACTTCAGTAAAACGTATAAAGGGATGATTTCATTTTCACCACTTGGAACTCTTGGTTAAATAGCTTCCTTGTGAGCATCAATCCTCTATCATAATAGGAAACACAAACCTAAGGAAACTGTGAATTCAAATTTTGCTGATTTTGCCGGTGGAGCGATAGTACGCTCCGTTCAATGACTAGTTTAATTTGCTCAAAAATATCTTATGAAATAAGTGCGCCGTACAATTGACATTTGAGACGACCCCTTGCATATTACCTCACAGATTCGGACAACTTTTCCGCAAATTTCTGCAAATTCACTAAATATTATTCTGAGACATGAAACAAGCATATATTTCTTTCGGTCCGTATTTCTAATCTTGACACATTACTGATATTAAACATGGAAGAGAGTTTTGCTTTCAAAAGTCAAATGCTTTACAGGAAATGAAGACTTGTCCATAGCACGTGACTATAGGTGTGTGCTGGTTCTTCTGATATATTTCGGTTATTCCTTTTTATCTATCATTTGCCAAATTTGTTTCGATGGTGCTGTGAGGTTTTGGTTCGATGATTCTGTGAGGTTTTAGTAAATATTTTGTTGGTCTTTTTTCCGTTTTATTTTGTTAATAGTGTTGTCTTTTTCGACTTAATCTAATTTTGGATGTTACACGTAATCTCATTGGCTGAAATTATTTTGTCTATCGGCAGCTCATAGACCTGATTTTTCCATGTAACCGTGACGTCATCAACGTTTTTCTATGATTTACTCCTTAAAAATGGAACTTACAATTAAATTATCAGGATTGACTATAATATTTTTCTGTCTGTGGTGCACATTTTTACTTAACCAGCGTTCAGTGTGCACCACATTTTTTATGTTATTTCCTCATAGACTTTCCTTAAATATAATTTTAATTACTCAAAAAGCCATGTACACTCGGTGATATACTTTATAGTAGGTTCTTTTGTCGATGACCTTAATTGCATGGTTCGTTGACCAAATTCAATTTTGCGGGACTAGTGTAAAAATAAGTAGATGTGGTATGATTGCAAATGAGAAAACTATCCATCAGTTCATAACTAGTGGACTAGCTAGGTATTTCTTTAGTTACTGGAATGTATGGAACTGTATACGGTCTATATATTGACTATTTTTAGTAAATATAACATGAAATGCAATCAAAACCCTATGGCTATTATGATTCACTACCACAAAACTTCAGTTGTCAACAAAACGAAGAATTTAATGAAAATAAGAAGAATTTAACCTTACCTGACTGCAGATTTGGTTTTCTACCGCTTCATGGGTACCTGTATCCGGTGGTGATGCTACACAGTGTACACTTATACATAGCAAAATCATTTTTGAAAATAGTGCAAACAAGTTTCATTTTGATTTTTTCCGCAGTTCTTTCATGAAGTCCGCTTGAGGTATAGCCAACATCGAATTCCCTCACAAAATCTAATCACACACTATAGTATAATACAATTCAATGTCTTATTAAAAAATTCACAAAATTGCAAAATGAAAGCAATCTTTACCATCAGTGCTCACAAGCACTTTGATTAGAACATGTGAGCAAGGGCAAACTTCGCATTGAAATCTTTTCACCGTTCACAAATCATAATTTAAGGGTTTTTTTTATACCTATAGTAAGAAATAAAACTGATCGAGAGACTTTCCTCAAACTAGTAAACCAGGTGAAATACATTAATTAAATCCTTCAAAATATTTGTTATGATTATAATAAGTACTACAGATAATCGTTGCTCTCAGTCTACAAATGAAATAATACCATGTAAATTTCGTTTGGTCGAGGCGCATTTCTGGATTTTGTTTCATCAGGGACACTCACACGTAAACATGTTAAAGCCAGGGATGCGGAAAACAAGACATAATACTTGCTTTTCTGACGATACATCGATACATTGATGATATTTTGTATGAAGTTGCAGTACTATCAGTTCGTATCAGTTTGATGACTAACTGAGGCAATGTCCCATAGGGCATGGTTCAATGACTTTGAATTAATTAGCTATTTTCAATATTAAGTTTTCTGCTAAAGGTAGTTTGATAGGATCTTCTTGTAACAGATCAAAAATATTTTGTGTAAAGTTGCATTACTATCAGCACATATCTGTTTGACGAATAATTTCGAGACCCTGTCGCCTAGGGCATGATACACTGACTTTTAATTGATCAAGGTTCTGGTCAGTCATCGTTCAATTAGTAAAGAGTTTTAAATGCTAAGTTTTCTTCTAAAACAGTTTGATAAGAACTACTTGTGCCAGATCAATGATATGTTCTATAAAGTTGCATTACTGTCAGTTTGTCCTATGTTTAGGCCCTGTCCCTTAGGGCATGGTCCAGTGACTTTGAATTTATTAACAATTTCCATTGCTGAAGTTGTCTGCTTAAGAACTACTTGTGACAGATCAATGATATTTTGTTTAAAGTTGTATTATTATCAGTTCATATCAGTTAAACTACTATTTTGAGGCTCTGCCCCCCTAGGACATGGTCCAGTGATTTTGAATTAATTAGCAATTTTCAATATTAAGTTTTCTGCATAAGTCAGTTTGATAGGAACTACTTACAATAGACAACAATATTTTCTACAAAGTTACACTACTGTCGGTACATCTCAGTTTTTCGACGATTTTCAGGCCCTGCCAACTAGATCATGGTACAGCGACTGAACTAATAAGCAATGTTGCTGTAAATCGGATAGTTTTTTTCTGAATTATATACCGATATGCGAGACATATCTCTTTGTCAACAGTTTATTTGATAACTTCTCGCATTATTACCTGGGAATGTTAAATATAAATTATATGCTACAAATGATTCAAAAATATCTATTCTTTTCAACAGGATTTTGTATTTTACGACACCCATAAAAGAACCCTAGAGATAAAGTACAATGTCATAGAGAATGAAAATCAATCTTCAAAAGCTGAATATGTTGATGTTAATCTGCTTGGTCAAGTTCTAGCATCGACTGACCATAAGCATTACTTATTCCCTGATAATGAAATAGTTGCTGACGACGTACCGTACAGTGCTATCAAATCTAATGCTCCTCTGATCGTTTCAAAACGAACTGCGGTTGTGGTGTCTGATTTGAATTGTCCACAAAGAACTTTACTTTCAATAAGTAATTGCTTTCAAGCACCAATTGGAATGTTTTTTATTTTCAACGTTTATGGCTGTTTGTCTGAGAATATCAAAAAGCACCTCCTTTTACACTTTGCTAAGTTCCTTAGTCGGTCAATGAGTGAATATATATTACTTCGTGGTATATCAAGCAAAGGAACTAGTTGGACGTTTTTGGACAGCGCCGTCGAAGAATTTGGATTTAAAAGAATAGAATTTTATGGTACAGGTGTAGTAAGTGCCAGAAAAAGAATAAAAAACAAACTGTAATACAAAAAAAGGAAATCGGATACAGCTTTTTGTGTAGTTTCTTTTTTGCATAAGTTTTCATGAGCAACAGTACCAAACCATCATATATGGCTACCTTCGTACGTTTCCTGTAGTAGCGAGCACATTACTTGAGTCTGCTTTCCAATCAATTTGACAGAGGGGAATTGTTCTATACATGAATTTAGATATATATTTATATTATATGTGTAATCAGTTTCATATGTTTATACGGAATTGTACAAGTGTTGTCTGAAAACGCCTTTTTGTTTACTCTCTCTCCGGTCATAAATGTCGTTCATTTAAGACGTGTTTTTATGAGCTAGTTCCCAACCAAAACCTTAAGTTAAATGACGAGGCCCATATCGTCACATGGTGGAAAGACCCTTAAAAGCTTTTAAGTAGAAATTTACAAAATTTTGAGAAATATCTGTGCAGGTTTCAAGACACAATTAATTTATTTCTGAAAATGTGACCCCGTACACGAGTACTGGACACGTGGTTGTTATTCATCAATGTGACAGGACAAATTGGATGAATTTTGAGATCATTTTGACCAGTGACTTATACGGACAAATATTCATTTTATAACACAATTTATCCACACATACAAAGACATTTATCTTTACACATATGTCCAGAAATGCCTTTTTGTTTACTCTCTCTCTGATAATAAGTGTCGTTCATGTAAGACGTGTTTTCATGAGCTAGTTCCCAAACCAAAAACTAAAGTTAAATGATGAGGCCCATATCGTCAAACAATGTAAGCCTCCTGTAGTAGAGAGCACATAATGACCCTGCTTTTCAATCAATTTGACAAATGGCAATGTCAGCTTCTGCCATCCCTTGGCGTCCGTCATCCCTCCGTGTAGATCTGTTGTCCGGATTTTTTCTTTAAAACTCTTCAGTCCCGAAACTGTTCAATGGACTGACATCAAAGTTTGTCTGTTTCATCCACTTTATCCACTATGAAATTTGTGATTTTCGTTTAGGTTGATTAAACAACATGGCCACCGTGGCCAAGAATTGAACATAGGGGTAAAATTGCAATTTTAATTGATATCTCGAAAAGTATAGGAATAAGAGAATACTAACTGGGGAAAATGGCACAACAAGCTACATGTATTATCTACCCTGAACATTTATGAATAATCTATCAACATTTTTTGGAGTTATTGGCCCTGGAATGTTGATAGTTTGATATATTGACAGTTCTTGGCTATTGTTTCGAAAACTTTCGTAGCCAAGTTAAACTGCAAATTCAAAAATTATTCACATGGCAAGTTCTATCTATCTGAAACGTTTAAGAAAAATCCGAATCTCCTAAATGAGTTATTGCCCCCGAAATGTAAGTAGTATTTACCAATTATCACAGTTTTTGGACTGTTATGCTATCTAATAACTGTAAGATCTGTTACTGTTTTATGCAGTTTGGTTTCTGTCTCAAACACTAAAAAAGCTAGATTAAACGCATAAATCAGAAATGATCAGCTACGCAAAAAATAACAGGTATGTTCATATAAAGGTCCTAATTAGCAGCAAGTTTCTAAAAGGTTAGCAATACAGGCACAGATGTGCCTCTTGTATATTTCCTTGTTCAATAGGCCCTTTTCATGTTACAAACTTTTGACACCGGGTTACCTACTCTGTGGTAGGAAATCTGATATTCGGTCAAGTACGAGCAACGAAAAAAAGTAAAATAAAACATATAAACGGTGCAATATCGGGGGAATGTTTACTGTTTTCCGATGATTTGGTCTTGTTTAGAAAACATTAAAGAGTTATTTTTTCCCCAAATTGTACCGATTGAAAGCTTAATTCTTCTTTCAGTTACTCCTACGTGAAAGGGTACCATCAGGATGCCCTACTGCAGAGTAGGTAACCTGTCGAAAAATTATTATCCGGAGTCAAACGTCGGTAATATGAAAATAGTCTATTGTGTGGTCATTATTTTGATAGTCGCAATGTGTATGTTTTTTATTGCGTGTTTTAGTTTTAAGTCTAGTGGTCTAGAAAGGAACAGGGTGGTTTTTGCACACGTAAAACTGAGTTTAACCACACGACGGTTTGTCTCTGTACGAAGTCAGTCTATCTGGTCCATGGGTTTTTTGTTGTTGTTCGTTTTTGTATGTCCGTTTTTCGGAAGAGCGAATTGTTGATGGTTGATATGGATAGTTGTACCGTATGGTATTTATCATTTTGCTCTTATCTCCTGTTTATGTACAAGCCTAGTTGGTCGAGTAGTCTAGGGCGCTGGATATACAGCGCTAGACACAGTGCAAGTTGCCACGATGTCATAGAAGCAAGGGTTCGAACCAACTGAGGGGAAAAAAATTTGCTAACGCAAATTTGAAATTCAACATGTATATATATATATATATATCTGAGTATGTTGATATGTTTTCTTGTGGAATATTATCTTATCATGTCTGTCTAGTACAAAACAGGATTATCATAGATCTATATCTCATTACATTTTACATGCACATAAAGGTATTAATAAAAATTCCAAACTTTCGACAATATCAACCAACGGAACGAATGGAAATATTATGCATATTATTGTCCTGAAGATACTTTTAATATTATTTGCTGAACAAGGAACCTACGTGTTTCAATCAATCCATTAAATTGTATGGGCGCAGCCATTTTATGAAGATAAGATAACATGGCATTCAGAATTAAGAGTATGGCTAAACTTGATTGGTCGATGTGTGCAACTGGTATTTTATCACTAGACACTTCGTGCACAGTGCACGGAAGCCGGTAATTGTCAGGGTGTAGTTTTATTTTTAAGTCGTTATAACGACTTAGCTAATAAGTCGTTATAACGAGTTATGTAAGCTAAGTCGTTATAACAAGTAAGTTAAGCTAAGTCTTTATAACGAGTAAGTTAAGCTAAGTCGTTATAACGAGTAAGCTATGTCTTTATAACAAGCTAGATAAGTCGTTATAACGACTTTAAAATAAAACTACACCATCACACTAACCCCACGTTCGTAACTCTGCTCTATACCAAAGGCAAAATAATATATTTTCCGTAGCCCTAATAGAAATGAGAATTCTTTCCTACGCTTTGATAAGACACGTGATTTTGAGTGCAAAATTGATAGGCAAGGGAGATAAGTACAAATTACTGTAAGAAAAGCAACGGGAACATATCTTTTTTTGACTACAAAAGAATGTCCTATTAATTTTTCTTTAATTCTAGCAATGTTTCGTTCAAAAAATCAACTTTCTAAAGTCTGTATCCCGAAAAGGGCTACTATTGTCCTCTATGGGGAAATTAATTGGGTTTTTTTTGCAATCAACAGCTATTTCAGTTAATCAGTCAAACAACAATTCATCCATCCATCAAATTTTATAATAAATCGAATTTATTCTTGCGTTAATTAAAGTCGCATGTTGTCTGGTTAATCTGAGTCAGATAAAGATGAACTACTAGGTAAACATTTATAGGGTCTCATATTTAACGATATATTATATTTTTGAAAATTAAAATTATAAACAACGGAGCCTTTTATATTAGATCACAAGGATATTTTAATTTACTGGCACTACTGCCTGCGGTGGTTGACTGCTATTCGTCCCCAGGGGTATCATTAGCACATGAGTCGGTGCTTTGGAGCTTGGATTATTTATAACATACCTTTCTCAAACTCTCTGCTGAAAAATGTGTAGACTAAGGTTACAACTCACTTCGGCAATGTTGACCTTAGGTGGGTTTTGTTTTTCTTTCTTTTTTTGTCGCTATTTTGGCATAAAACCCTCTAGTGTTCAAGTATGCACATTACATTAATGGAGTTTTCTCTCGTACTGTTTGGAGGCCGTAAAATGTTTCCCCTTGCTTGAGGTAGGCCGTTAAAAGTTTTACCTTGCTTAAGGTGTATGCTCTTCTGTACATTTAAAGTTATGTATTTTTATTCTTGAGATAACTTCTCTTATGTGTGCCACATCATTCTTTCAATTTTAGGAAAGTTTGCATTCTAAAATTTAAAAAAAGACGCACACATCCTATTACTTGCCCCCATTCCTATCCACCTTACTATTTTCACTTTCAAACATTCATTGGGGGCGGGATCAATACACCGCTATTTACACATCAGACCGTACTGGTTACCGGAACTTTGGATGCCTGCAATATACCCGGTATGCCCTTAATTTTAGAATTCATTCATATATTTTGTATTATTCAAAGTTATCACTCAAAATGTATTCTACAAGGACCACCAGTCCTTCACCTTGACACTTGATACCTAAATTACCATAATATATTCCACATAGTTCTACGCTATTCCTGGTGCTTGGGACCTTCTTAAACTTGCAGTGAGGTGAAAGTTGTTCTGCTCCGTGTCGAAGGCCTCACTGTGACTTTGAGACGAAGAACAGCAATAAAGCGCCGTTTTTTGATTTTTTGTGTGTGTTTTTTTGCTGCGCATGTACTGTTTTTGTGTAATTGATAGATACCCCATATCCTTTGTTTTTTTTCTAATATAAACATCTTTGCTTTTATTTTACCTGGTTAAGCTTTCCTGTTGAAGGAAATCCAGGAAAGGTCTTCGGAAGCACCAAAATAATAAAGACTTATATTCATTAAAACAACTTTACATAGGAATATAATCCTAGGTTGGAGTAGAATTATTTGAAAATAATCACTCTGTTCAGAATTTTATATGCAAACAGACAAAAGATAATCATTAAAACAGTCTGACAGTGTGTGACATATATTTTTGACATTGATTTCTATAATGAAAGTCGAAATTTTACCCATATGCTATTTTCGGATTGATAACTCTTAAATTTTAGATATAAACGCGAATTTAAAAAAAAACGTTGTCGCCTACGTATATATTACGCTCTGAAGCTCAGCCAACGTCAATTTTACTATCGCAGTGATAGGTAAACTTAATTTGAAAAACTAAAACCTGCAGATACGTTTTACGTAGGCCAAGCCTAATTCACAATACAGCTGTCTTCAAATGATAAATTTTGCTGATTTCCCTAATTACTTCCTTAAATTAGCTACTGGATAAAAAGAGTAAGAAGACACCAGAAGGACAATTTAAGGCAAAATAAACCAAAGGAAGAATCAAAAGTGCTAAAGAAAAAAACCTGTCATTCTAACAGTTGTATTTGACAATCACTTATTCATTTCAACGGACACTCAGATGTGTGATCAGTTTCAAGCGAGATGACATAATCTGTGTTACAGAGTATACATTATCTATGTGCCTGTCCTAAATCAGGTGTATGTTATTCAGTGGTTGTTGTTTATTGTTGTATATCTTATTTGTTTTTCGTTATTGTTTTGTACGTTAATCAGGCCATTTATTTTCTTGTTTGAATTTGTCACGTCTGGACCTTTTTTTAGCTTGCTATGTTGCTTAAGTATTGTTCATTAATTTTTCGTTATTGTTTTGTACGTTAATCAGGCCATTTATTTTCTTGTTTGAATTTGTTACGTCTGGACATTTTTTTAGCTTGCTATGTTGCTTAAGTATTGTTCATTAATGGAGTCCGAACAATGATCAATGGCTAACTTCTATGTCATAAAGACTCTCTTAAACAGATGTTCTATTGGCAATCATACCTCATTGTCTTATGTTTATATTAATATATTTTCAAAAGAATTGTAGGTGCAAACGTTACTGTGATAGTTGTATCATGTAATGTGTACAACTGGTACATGAGCAACACGACGGATGCCACATGTGGAGCAGGATCTGCTTACCCTTCGGGTGCACCTGATATTGACCCCGGTTTTTGGTGGGGTTTTGTTGCTCATGGTAGATTTCTAGTTTGTGTTTGTTAAACTTTGCTTTTTTTTTTTCTTTTTTTTTTTTTTTTGCCAAAGCCTTGTCATTTTATTTTCGACTTATGAGGTTGAATGTCCATTTGGTATCTTTCGCCTCTCTTCATCATCAGAATTCCTCCTTAAACATATAGACATTCATATTTGTAACAAACTGTTATCGATGCTTAATTATCTTAATTTAATTTTGGACATTTGAAAGAATAAACAATTACTGTAGGTGTCTTATAGCCATTTTCCCCCATGCTGATTTTTTCCAGAGGAGGAACTGGATCGTTCCAGTTTTCCCCCCGGAAAAAAAGAACAGGATCACACTTTTCCCCCATAACGTGATAGACAGACTTGTAGACATGTTAATAGACTAGTGGACACATAGCTAGACCGTTGGGTGAACATGTTGACCGACTGGTTGACACGTAAACATATACACTGTTATCAGGACTATCCTCCCACCTAGTAACACAAGAAGCTAATTTTCCCCTAGTAGTAACGTCGGCGACGTCATTTGGAAATAAATTAACCATTAAAGGATAGTTACCTTCTTTTAAATAGTTAAGCGTTACCACACAATCATCGTAAACACATAAAAATACCAGGAAATAGGTTCACAGACTTGTAGACAACTAGACAGGCTGCATGTGGACATGTTAACAAACTGTTGAACTCATAGACAGACTTGTAGACATGTTAATAGACTACTGGACACATAGCTAGACCGTTGGGTGAACATGTTGATTGACTGGTTGACACGTAAACAGACTGGCAAACACGTAGATAGACTGGTGAACATGTCGAATGACTGGTGGACACGTAGACAGACTGGTGAACACATATACAGACTGATGGACACATATACACTGTTAAACATGGATAGAGACTTGCGGATACCCACAGAGTGGTGTAGACAGACGTGAAGGCATGTAGACAGACTGGTGAGTACATACAAAATATGGTGAACATGTAAACGGATTTCTGTACACACACAAATTGTAGACATGTAAACAGACTACTGAAAATGAAGACAGACTAGTGAACATTGAGACAGACGAGTGGTCATGCAGAAATGAACTCAGATTTAATTTGTGGAAATGTGATGAAATCACCATACTATCTGGCATGCACAGGCTATTGGACACAGACGGCTGCACAAACATAAAATTCAATTTTTAATGTAGGGTCACTTCCTTTTAATAAGTTCTATACCGTTTTCCGTTTTTCAGAATGTTTAATATATAAACGAAGGAAAACTTTTAAAAGTCTTTCAAATGCCAATGGGTGGCAATTTATTAAACAATATATCAATTGGTCAAAATTTCATTATTTTACAGTAGCATTTTATCATCCACAGTATTTATGAATAGGAACAGATTTTCATGTGCATGCATGATATAAACTATACTAATAAGTCGAATTTTTTTACATAGCCTATAATATATAAATGGGGGTATTTTTTGAATGCAAATGGCACCCTTATAACAAAATATAGGTGACCCATCCATACTTCCCGACCCCAGATCTTTCTTAGGACACGCGATGCGACAAAACGAACACAATTTGTAACTCCCATCATTTGCTTTATGTAAGCCACGCCGAAAAACAGATTATTTTAGCATTCCAGGGATCAATCAATTTTAAGAAAATATGGAAAATATATGCAACAAATGGCCGTCCAACTTTGATGTATACCCATGTTTTAGGGGAATTAGTGGCTTGGGGAAAAAGTGGCTATATGTACACGTATTGTCAAATTTCCTCCGGGGAGTGAGTTAATGGCAATGATACAAAATTTCCTCAAGGGAAAAATGAGATCATGCCAGTTTTTCCTTTCAAGGCCCCAAATTCATATCGTAAAAAATGTGTTGTGTTTACAAAACAAAAACGATTATTCTGAGAATAATTTATTTCATCATGCTAAACTCGAGGGGTCACAATAATCATCTTCACGCAGTGGTTAATTGTCCACAAGTTTCATTTATCTCCTGTCGTAAGTCGTCGTCTATTGTGCACTGCTTACGTGTGTTCTTCATTTTACGACTACATGTATATCTACCATATTTTCTATAGCCTTTTTTCTGTCCTGGTTTACGTTTGTTCTTTATTTTACGACTACATGTATATCTACCATATTTTCTATAGCCTTTTTTCTGTCCTGATTTAGGACTGCGACTAGCACTATCATCCTCATTAGCACTGTTATCTATAAGCGCGAGGAGTTTACGGCAGAACGATTCAAGGGGAGAATCAATTACAGGATTGCATCCCGCAAATTCAATTGACGGGTCTTGGATGTTACAACCATCTGGAATGTTGCAAACAATTGGTCTAGTGGTCGGAACAGTGACTGAAATGATAAATATTTATTTTTTTCAAATGGATTCGATAAGTTAGCATATATGATGATTTTCAGTAGATTTTTTGCAAAAAATAACTCATTCAGTAAACTAAAATCAGTAACAGCGGCTAAAAATTTTAAAATATTTTTACAACGTAATATTAATATCATTCGTTTACGGCAAAGACACAAGCACAGATAACTATACGACAAAATGTACACAGAAAGACAGACAGACAGACAGACGTGTGTTGATAGGTAGGTCTGTACTGATTTTTTTTAAATATATACAATAATTTACAAATTTTAGTCGAAAGAATGTATTTATGGTATACTATAATTTTATTTAAATAAAAATAAAACAATAAAATAGAGTGTGTATTAATTATTTTTTCTTGAATGAAATATACTGGAATACTTTCTTATTCCGAAATATAAATGTAAAGATATTTACTTTTGGTATATATAGGCATTGTTTGTAATTGAAGGAGAAGCAGAAAACCTTGGCCGTGTCGACGCACTTATCTTCGTTCAGTTTTGATAATGCTATATTATAGCTTGTTTCGGTTGTTTTAATTGGACTAAGTCTTGTGAAATTTCTATTTTATATACTAAATACTACTAAATATTCGGTACAGACTATTTGCATGTGTAAGCAGTTAGTTTTTCTAATCGAGTACACTTATTCTAATACTTTAATTTGCCTTTACTCTTAGAAATATTATAACCCATGGTACCGTTAATGCTATTAGTATAATGTCAATACTTGACGAGCTTGAATATCTTCGTACATATAATTATTAGTAAGCTTTTTAATTTAACATTAACTTTATATTGAAGTAAATTTATTTCAAAAAGATCATTGCTTGTAGCTACTCAAAACTTACCATTATTTGGTCTAGCACTAAAGGCTGCAACATAAAGAAAGAAACTTATAAAAATATATATAATAGGCATGCGCAAAATAAGTATTTCTGGAATGAAATGTTGATTTTGTTTGTTGTCAGCACGTTTCTTATTCAAGTATGCATTTCAATTCACTTTTCGTGTGTTTTAAGGAGAATGTTCTCCTGAACTAGTCTACAAACACACGTTATGCAGGAAGTTGGCATCTACGAAGAAAATAATTACATGTTCAGGATGTTGCTACTTAATTTACATACGTTGAAATACCAGAGAAAAATAATAAATGAACACAATACGCAATAACATTCATTTGGTTTACCTGCAAACAAATTAGTCTCACGTCAACATCAGTTACTTACATATAAGAAGTCTCACTTCAACATCGGCTACTTACATATAAGAAGTCTCACGTCAACATCAGCTACTTACACATAAGAAGTCTCACTTCAACATCAACTACTTACATATAAAAAGTCCCACGTCAAAATCAGCTACTTACACATAAGAAGTCTCACTTCAACATCAGCTACTTATATATAAGAAGTCTCACGTCAACATCAGCTTCTTACAAATAAGAAATCTCTCGTCAACATCAGCTACTTACAAATAAGAAGTCTCACGTCAACATCAGATGGATTGGGAATTCCATTATCATTCACAGGTCTGCATATATCACAGAGAGGTGGTTCACTAGAATACAGTGTGTCTGGCGGTGAAAATGGATCTGAAACATTAGAGAGCATGTAGTATATAAACCAAAACGAAATAGTAAGCTATTATCAAGACATTTGTTTAATTTCGAAAATTTGAAGTACACGTAATCAGGCGACATTTCAGATTTAGATGAAATGTTGTATAAGATCTACTTGAACTGCATATGAATATCGAAAAATAATATATGTAGCTTTTATGCATCCAGATATACAGTAATTAAACATTTGTGAAATAGGCCTTGATATGTAATATGATATGTATGTTAAAATCGACGGAAATTTGCATTTTGTCTCTTTAAATAAAGATATGTGTCAAAAATCCGTCCACAGGATTTTGTTTGAAAATCATATTTTATTGCTATAAACATTTACTTTATCGATATGAAAATTGTCGCCATAATCGTGTTTTGCTGTCTAAATCATCTTAGTATGAGTGATGAATGAAAAATTATGAACAAATACGATTTCGCAGCGTGACGAATTCACGACGTTATAATTTTAATTGTATTGTTTTACCCTTTTTCACGCTTTATATCAAGACTTATTTATGTCTACAGAAAGAACGAATACGGTGACTGCCTATCATTTCCATATCATTAAAACCGATAAAAAATATATTACCTGTTCTATTTAGCGTAAATGATGCAACTTCAATAAAATCATTAGAAATAACGCTAATTTTGAAGCACCAATAGAAATATTGACCATCTTTCAATGGACCCGAGACCCTGAAAAAAGTAATTATCGGTACACAATTGACAAATTCGTTATCGATAGTATAACACAAGTTGTCATAGTGTTATATGACAGTCAAAGTTACGCTAAAACCCAAAACTTTGAAAGCAAACGGCGTATACGTAACTTAGCACATAAATGTTGTATGACTTAAAGGGATCTAGACGGATAGCCAAATCCATCATAGGTCAACTTTGCCTGAGGGAGTCTCTAAATAGTTCTAAATAATTCTAAATAATGTATATGTATATATACAATAGATATTTCAGCTGATCTGTAACAATTCCATCTTCATGCCTTATATATCATGTACTGTATTACGACGCTAGATTAAAACTGACGAGGAAAGGTAACACCCGGCCACCGAAAGCTTTATTTTGTGAAGCCTAGGTGGTCGTGTGGTCTAGCGCGTCGGATACAGTGCAGGCGATTTGGTGTCACGATATCTCAGTAGTATGAGTTCGAATCCCGGCGAGGGAAGAACAAAAAAATTGCGAAAGCAAATTAATCAGATCTAACATTGTTGGGCTGATGTTTAGACGAGTTGTATATATACAAGTCGAAATTGAAAACAACGTTCAAACCTATGATTGCGTTGGATAAAAACCGCAATTTTTATACGTGTGCATGCAAAACAAATGTCTTGTTAGAGGGGTCTAAATACATCACAAACAACATTTTCCAAAAGACAAAAAAAGTGAAAAAGTATATTTTAACAAAACGCATTTGACTAACAGGTCGAACAACAAATGCTCTTAATTGCTGACTGCCATTGGCGATTGCCAAATAAACGGATCACCGATGTAATAAATGGATCTTAATTATAAATTTAATACTAAACAGAAAATAATAAACTTGCGGAAAAGATGGTATACCGCAAACAAATGGTGCAAAGGTTTTTGTACACCATATCCGGATTTCGACAATTAATGCCTCTTCAGTGATGTTAGGAATCGAAACGGTATTTGGAAAGTCATACAATTTACCTCAATTTAGGATAGACTCTTGAATTTTGAGGAGTCAAAATAGGATGAACGGATCATATAAACCCGAAGGCAAATATAATACAAGCCTATATATATATATATATCTACGGACAATTTAAGAAAGGTATGGCATAATTCACGTCAGTATCGAAGCTCTGGCTACTGCATGTGGTACTAGCCGTAATGATACTCTTTGATATTGCGTATTATTTCAGAAAGCGGCTTATTGCCGATTTTCAATTGATGGGTAAACACAACAGGAGCAGATGACCTTTCCGGAACACACCCCGTCAGTATTTTAAGTGGGGTTCGTGATGTTCAGTCATTGGCTTCTATATTTTCTTTGGTTACATCTTCTGACATCAGACTCGGACTTCTCTTGAACTGAATTTTAATGTGCGTATTGTTATGCGTTTACTTTTCTACATTGGCTAGAGGTATAGGGGGAGGGTTGAGATCTCATAAACATGTTTAACCCCTCCGCATTTTTGCGCCTGTCCCAAGTCAGGAGCCTCTAGCCTTTGTTAGTCTTGTATTATTTTTAATTTTAGTTTCTTGTGTACAATTTGGAGTTTAGTATGGCGTTCATTATCACTGAACTAGTATATATATTTGTTTAGGGGCCAGCTGAAGGACGCCTCCGGGTGCGGGAATTTCTCGCTGCATTGAAGACCTGTTGGTGACCTTCTGCTGTTGTCTGTTCTATGGTCGGGTTGTTGTCTCTTTGACACATTCCGCATTTCCATTCTCAATTTTATTGTAATTGTTGTTTGTCCTTTCGACGTTTTAACTTTTTCGCCATGGTATTGTCTGCTTTTGATTGGACTTTTGATTTTCGGATAACCTTTAAAGATCTTCTTTCTCTCTTGTTTATACATCATATTTTTCTGCGATAAAACAGCTTTTCAACGGAGCTTCAAATGTCAAACTTTAATGAAGGGGAAATAAAATATCAAAACGTACCTTAACATGTAAAAGTCCCCGTCACGTTCAATGCATTCAAGTTCAACTTGTTCTTCGTGAACTGATTGTATTGCAAATACTGCACCATTTTGTGGGTCCGCATTTGGTATCCCCAAAACATAACTGTTTTGATTTAAAACAATTTCTCCGTATGTGTTGCCAATTATTTCATTTGGAAAACTGCAGTTGGCATCTGGAAAACACAATTCAAAGCAAGTCACAAGAATAAAATATCTGTTAGAAAAGGGACTGTAATGAAATGGTCCATTTGATTGAGATATTCTTTTCAAAAGCTTATTCAATAAGGTCCTAATTTCAAAGACTAGTTAAAGTCACAGCTCAAAGACAAAAGAAAAATTGTAAAAAAAAAAAAACAATTACAAAAAATTGGGCTAAACTAATCAACGAGGCAATGTTTGACCATGAAGGCTTTGTTATGACGTTTAGCTTTCTTCTGAAAAATGATGGTGAACAATTATACCGTAGTATAGAAGTATGGTCATCATTTCAATTCTCCCGTCTGGTAATAAAACCCTTGCTGAAGTGGGCTGTCAGTTTTGACTGTACGAAATAAATTATCAGCCATGTCTGCATGGTCAGAATGGGGACGTGCACCTGCAAGTTAAGGAATCTTTGCAACAACTCTCTGGTGAGTCCGAAGATGACCTGAAGCGGGTACATTTTATATTCCTATCAAACATACCCTCATTGTCCAGTGGACCTACCTTGCAGAAACTACATATTGCATCAATTGGTTATTTCCCCGGCCTTAATATGCATGAAATCATTTCCCGTGTTCGTTCAGCCAGCAACAAACAATAGATCGATTATGGTAAATAATATACAGAGATTAAATATGTTAAGCAAATAAGAAAGTCTATGCAGTAAAATTAAGACGTTTTCCTTGGCTTATGTTTACGGAAAAAGGGAGACATTTTTTGTACATGGTCTTATCATCTGCTATCAGTTCTCTTATAGAAAATAAGAGAACAATAGAAAGAAGAGAAAAGTTTAATTAATCTTATTAAGAGAGGAAATACAAATTTCCGAATGAATTAATGTCACACAAGGGCCATTTTAAATTCATTTTTCAATCTTTTTTTTAAATTTACAGAATAAAAAAGAGAGGCGAAAGATACCAAAGGTATATTCAAACTCATAAGTCGAAAACAAACTGACAAAGCCACGGAAAAGAACGAAATACAACGAAAAGACATGTGTTACATGGATGTTCTTTGAGTTTTTTAACAATAGAAATGGTGAAATTCTGAACATGTAACCAACAAGGTTAAAAACTGCAACTGTTCAGAATTTTGAGTACTTTCCTCAAAAAAGAAGGAAGTTGTTAATGAAAGCTAAAATTATTTCGGCAGTAAATATCTGTTTAAAAATAAGAGATGTGGTATGATTGCAACTCTCCACCAGACACCAAATGACCGATAGAAGTTAACAACTATAGGTTTAAACCGTACGGCAAAACACATACCGCATAGTCAACTATAAATAGCCCCAAAATGACAAATGTAAAATAACTCATTCATTTCCTTTCAAGTATAAATCGATTCATTTTGAATAATGGTGTCATTTTAATCAACATTTTACAAAAACATGCAAAATTTACAATATTGTAATAAAAATGTCCTTCAACATTGCTTTTTTTTTTATGTATTATATAAAATTATTGAAAATTTTTAAAGCAAATTATTTAGACTCTGCCATGTTCAGATTTTGACCAAATGTTTATAACAAATACATAGGAATTGGTTCTTCCTCTAACTGTTAAATGCTTTAACCTGTATTCATATACTGTAATTCAAACTAGCAAATTAAAATTAGTGTTATTAAAACCATACCTGAACCGACTATTAGGCTTGCTACAAAAAACAATAACATCTTCGTTTCAAATGGAATTGATACACTGTTGCTAAAGAACTATTTTCATGCTTTATACCGATATTGCATTCACATCTGTTTAACGATTTCACTTTGAACCTAATTAAATCACACACTTATACTTTGTTTTACAGTTACTAAAAGGAAAATAGTGACTTTTAAAATACATATTTTTCTTTAATATTTTAATTTCCTTTGTTATCTGTTAAATTATGGTTGATACAATGATCAAACAGACTATTTGTAGCACTACAAACAGCTTAATAATATTACAGAAACTCATCCGACATGTTCTCGAAATATTGAAATGTTCAAATTGTCACTCAGAATATTACAGAAACTCATGCGACATGTTCTCGAAATACTGGAATGTTCAAATTGTCACTCAGAATATTACAGAAACTCATGCGACATGTTCTCGAAATACTGTAATATTCAAATTGTCACTCAGAATATTACAGAAACTCATGCGACATGTTCTCGAAATACTTTAATGTTCAAATTGTCACTCAGAATATTACAGAAACTCATGCGACATGTTCACGAAATACTGAAATGTTCAAATTGTCACTCATATCGTATGCTTCTTGGATTTTGTACATTCAATCAATTAATACTTAACTCTTCACAGATACAAAGATCCATATTGTTTACGCCAGTAATGAAAGCTGGTTTATTTAGTTGTGGAAACCAGTGTGACAATATACTGATGATTAATTCACTGCTACAGTCCCGATCTGAAATTCGTTCAAATTTTGTCTTTTTTTACTTTAATACCGACCGCTGAATGTACATTGAAATAATTTGACGAGTGATGCATGCAGGGTTAGAGAAGTCTACTGTGTCGACATAAAACTTTATTCGACTCTAAAATAGTTCTCATACTCAGTGCTCGAATATATTCTCCACTGAGATCGTTTCTCGAAGATCGTTCTCGAGAATAGCGGTCATAAACTTTTTCGAGTAAGTTCAAAGTCCGAGAACGTTTTTCTCATACGTGTAGGGCCTTAGTGCGATCCTCTTATTTCCGGTTATTCTATTTACAATGGATACCATTGCAGACGACCAGGGTACGACAGCAGTTGACGACAATGTCGGAAACTCAAAACAGAGAACCTTGTGGAGCACCGAACAGCAGGCCCTTTTCCTCTCCCTCGTTTTCAAAATTTTATTTGGTGCTGCAAAGAGGGACGGGGGAGACGGCAACATGAACACACTCAAGATTTTTATTTGCAAACCCCGTATAAGTTTTATCTCCCTTTGTTGACAGAACATTAATATCCGGCAACCTACAGGATACATGTCAATAAACCTGGATGGTTGTTATTTGAAAAATTTTGCATACCCGCAATGTTAGATTAATTGATTGTTGGTTGCTTAACGTTCAGTGGCAAATATTTCATGCATATTGAGGGCGAGGCAATGTTAGAAAACACAGCCGGGGTGTGCATGGTAGTTTTGCCTCTTTATTTATAAATTGCTTCGCCAATCCAAACAGTGACTTTCTCACGAGCTTCACTGTTCTTCCGACCCCCATCAAATGTTCAACCTCTTGCAAAAACACGCAGACAGGTCAATACTTAAAAACTGGTGTTAGTGCTTGATTCCACCCTGATTTGAGTAAAGAATTATAAATCAGGCTAGTTATGAATATGATTGTATCCGGGCGAAATCTGTATCGAGTAAACAACTCCTTAGCTGACAGGGATTCGAACGGTCTGCAAAAACTTGCGGACTAGGTGCTTGACGTCTCCTTTGCCGCCTTCTTATCTTTCTGTGTCCAGCAGCCTGCATTATCGTGATTCGAGACAGGGGCTTGCCATTCTCAAATTTTTGAAATCTACTCAACAATGTTGAGCACGATTTACATATTCAAATATGTTATTTTCGAGCACGAATTAGAATTTGGAGAATTGTTTTTGTACTCCGAGTACTGAGCAACGTTTTATGACCGGAAGGCCAGAGTTCATTAAACGTTACTCGGTACTCGGAGTACACATTTTGTGCTCGAAACACCAATTTAATAATATCTAGTATGGTTTTAATTTACTAATAACAAATTCAATAGCTATACCAATAAAACAATACTCAAAGATCTTATTACAGTGTTGGATTGGTAACCTTTTAGAACAAGTTTATTTAAAGGATTGATAAGTTTAGTAATACCTGGATCGTATCTAAAAGGTAAAATAACAAAAATACCGAACTTCAAGAAAAATTCAAAACGGAAAGTCCCTTAACAAATAACAAAATCAAAAGCTCAAACATATTGAACGAATGGAAAACAACTATCATAATCCTGACTTATTCCAGGCATTTCCTTATGTAGAAAATGGTGGAGTTGACCTGGTTTTATAGCTAGCTAAACCTCTCACTTGTATGCAAGTCATATAGCATTCCATTATATTGACAACAATGTGTGAGCAAAACAAACAGACATAATAGGTAAGAATTTCCGGGCTTGGTAAACAACATCACCATAAAAATTAGGATGTGCTTTCCCGTTTGAAATAAGTTTTTTCTATTTATACAAGTACATCCAAGCTTCCAAACCAAATCTTTGTATCTATTGAAGGATTAAGTAAAGGTTTTAAATAGTTTGGTAACGAAATCCCTGACTTAATAATTAACGCTCATTGAAATCCATTACGTCAGACACGGGGAGTTGGGATATATAAACACCGTAAGACAGTGCCAAAGGAACTTCACCGTCCAAAAAGGAAAATTAACAATAGGGAAAGAAAAATCGTCCCTTTTGTCGTAAATTTTCTTTATCAACGCATTAGCACATCACTAAGCACATAGCGTATATTTTATATTTTCATTACACATCTGGATGGAGAAGGTTTGGTACCATTAAAACGGTTAATCCCGCTGCAAATGTTTGCACCTGTCCTAAGTCAGGAATCTGATTACAGTAGTTGTCGTCTGTTTATGTAGTTCATACGTGTTTCTTGTTTCTCGTTTTTATGTAGATTAGACCGTTGGTTTTTCCGTTTGAATGGTTTTACACTAGTAATTTTTGGGGGCCCTTTATAGCTTGCTGTTCGGTGTTAGCCAATGCTCCGTGTTGAAGGCCGTACCTTGACCTATAATGGTTTACTTTTATAAATTGTAATTTGGATGGAGAGTTGTCTCATTGGCACTCATACCACATCTTCCTATATCTATTAACTAAATAGAGAAAAATGGAAAAGGGGAGAAGAAATTAAGTGCAATAAATATTAAGAATAGAGGAAAATAGGCAAAAAAAAATAAAGAATAGATAATAAAGGGATGGGGAAATATAAATAATAAAAAATAAGGGTCAAAATAAATTAATAACAGAGAAAAATGGTCTAAAACGTTAAAGATATAAAGAAATGAAGGACTCTCCTTCCAAACTCTCATATAATGATAGCGCCTTACGTCTTTAAAGGACGCAGGCAACATAATTCCTTAGAAAAATACGAAAAATAACGTATTTGTGTTTCGAGGAAAGGAAATGGTAAAATAATTATAATGATGCACGCATTATGATCAGATAAAACTACTCATACAACAATTGAATATACCAATCCTTAATAAATTTTCTCATCTTTCTTTTTCAATTGTTGCATTCATAATGGATGTATTATTTCTAGATCAGTATTCGTGTATTGATATACGCGCGAAATCTTCTATAATTTCGTCCTTTGATCTTTTAGACGAATAAATTGTCATATTAACCATCATCTTTTGACATAAATAACCAGATACCCTTTTAAAAAAAAATCTGTTACCTTAAGATCTTATGAATAATATCAATCGAGCTTTATAAGAAGAATAAATCTTAATTAACCATACAGTGGAAATAATCAGAAATATACTTTTCTTTTGACATAACTAATTATACAGTTTTTTTTTTTTTTAAATGTCGTTTTTCTTATGATGTTATACAAAGTCATGTAAATAATATTTCGACTAGCTTTATAACAAATTTGAGGTATAAATACTTATCAACCATCCAGAGGAAATAACTAGAAATAGACTTAAGGGCTGCATATTTTGTAGGGTTTGGTTGCAGTTTACAGAATAGAAAATAATGGGCAAAAAGTGCAGAATAAAGGGCAAAACATATATTAATAGAAACAAATAGGCCAAAAAAAGAGAATGGAGAATAATGGGGTACTAAAGTATAAAGAATAGAGAAAAAGTCATAATAGATAAAGAATAGAAAAAAGAATTGTCTTATAAGTTAAGGAATGAAGAAATGAAGGACCCCCTCCATCACCTTCCCCCAAATATTTTTTTTATCTTTCTGAAACACAAAATGCATTTAACTTTTATATATATAGTGGATGCCAGGCATTAAATTTTTTCCAACTGGACAGGTAAGTCTGTACTCAGAGTAGCTTTTGATGTGGAAATACAGACATTTTTGTCCATTTGTTATGATGAACCTTAACATATATAACAATTTGATCATTCACATTGCTTTTGGTGAAATACGCAGCATTTGTTAGCCTTACTGTGTATTTATAAAAGTGAAAAAGAAAATCCTGTAATGATAAACACATTAAATTCACTATTAATACTGCCTTCAAATAACCGGACATTTAAATGTATTACACGTTTTTATGTTTACTTGTGTATACACACACATGACCTATAACCTAGAGTGACCAACGGTCAGATAAAGGTAAGACATGTCAAAATGGTTATATTTCTTTCTGATGTTAATCATCATTTACTGTCAGACTTATTTTACTGTACAAAATATTAAATAATCAAAACCTGTGGATTTAACGGGATAAACACGTTCGCTGGGAGATGTCACCTTGTTATGCGTCCTACTAAAAAGGGGGCGTTCACTATCTTGTTTACATTAATTCAGTTATTGAGATGAGCCGTTAGCTTCAAGCTTGGTTCCGTTTCATTTTAATATCATGCGTCATATTATATGATGGCAGTTTTGATTATAAGTTAGTTTAATAAATGCTATTTGAAAGATTCGACTATCAGCCAAATGTATAGACGACATCTACCAAACAACAACTAGTCATGAGTATGCATGAAGTATTTGCCACTGGACGTTAATCAACCAATCAAACACCATCAATTAGTTTGGTATATGTAAATTGTATCATTAATTTTGTAGCCCATGCATATCCTTAATCAAAGTACAAATGTAGATTATCATATAACGTGTTCTTATATTTTTTTGCATTCAACTATTTTGATAATAAATCATATTCAATAATCAAAATACATGCATGAAAAAAGGATGAGTCACGTTAGATTCCACTTACTCACCCTACCACAAATTGTCTCCACCCTCGCTCAGTCTCCAGAATATAAGCAAAGGTCGGATTTAGATAAAATATATTTAACTTGCTCTAACGTACACTTAACATATAAACAAGATAAATCGAATTTGAATTATATATATTTAGATTATAAAAAGTGAGGTTTTCCACATTTTTGGGTTTAAGCGTTTTTGGTGAAGGTAGAGACCAGAGAGCGCTTTGGACACACCTTATTTACAAATTATAAAGTTAAATGTCTCGTATTGATTTTTTTAGTTTAAAAGTTTACTGAAGAAAATCATTATATTATTTTTTTAAAGAAAGAGAAACAGCATAATTCAACATACACAGGGGTTGATCCAAGGTCCGAAGATAACAAAGTTGCCATTGTCCTGAATGGTGAAAATATTAGCGAGCCTAACGAGACAAATGTTTTGGTGGAAGAGGATTTTCAAATCTTCTGAAATCCAATACTGCCGGTTGGTCAAGTCTAAAAATAGAAGTTTCCAGAAGTGTTTCCGTATCCTTTTCTGTACTTTACAATATTATAACTTCCTAAGCTGGTCCTCGACTGACTACTACACTTTGTTCATAGACAGCCGGTCAGAGCCGTTTTGTTGTAGAATCTGATTAGTCAAGAGATTGTTTTCAATCTCCTATATTAGAGGTGAAGAATACATACAGATACATATTCGTCCAATCAAATTACACGTACTTAACATGGAGAAATACATAACTTTCACATTCGTGCATTTCCTGATTTTTTAAATGTCACAATGCTTATGTCGTTACGTCACAATGAGAGCCGAATGTTCAATGGCGCCATTTACACCGATGTGTTGCAATGTAACAACGAAACGTCAAATCTCGTTAAAATCCCGAGGGCAAAATTCTGCCTCCTACATTGGGCCGTACCGGCTGTCTATGAACAAAGTGTAGTAGTCAGTCGAGGACCAGCTTAATAACTTCCATGCCTCATCTCGACAACGATTTGTGCATGATCGGTAATAAGTTTGTAAAATAGTGTCTGCATCATTTTATGAAAGACGGAGACACACATGTACAGTTACCTAAATTCGGGCTTGTATAGTCAGCAGTTTTTTACTCCAAAATTAAAGTTGCCAGGCAGGGGTGTGGATTGCAAAGTACGATAAGCAAGAAATATGAGAAAATCACAATTTTGCGAGGTTTGTTTACGTTCCTCCATGTTTGTTATTGAAATTGTAGAGGACGCCCTAATATAATTTTCAAAACTAATAATTTACCTAATCAATATTAATATGCAATTTTAATTCAAATCCATTATTAACTGACAAATGATATCAAAATTACTTTACAAATATCTCGTTTTTTTCATTAATTGCATAGCATAAACTGGGATCCGTTTGTATCTAACGGAATGAAAAACGTGTATAAGTCATCCGGGAACAGCTTTTGCAAAACGATGCATAAACTACAAAACATAAATCGGTTATTTATTCCGTTTTTGGTGTTTCGTCCTGACGCATGTGTTTTGTTAGTCCAAATAATTATGACGTGTTGAAAGACTATCTAAATTTTTCTGTGGCGCCTTCCTACGAGTTAGTCCAAATGAGTTAGTCAAAATATTATGACGTCTTATAATTAATAATCAGCATTGTGTCATTAGGGAATTGAGATTAAGTACATACGGAACAAACATTATTTCTAGTTTATCCTGCATAATGACGATCGCTCACGAAGACGCTTGATGAACTTTGATAGTGCAGGAATACAGGCGGTCCCCTCTATATGGTAAATGACGTCATAAAGGCGCGCATAAATGACGAACTTTTCCGGTGAAGGACATAACTCGAAAGTGGTCTATTGTTTTTTTTTTTTTTTTTTTTTTTTTCTTTTTTGTGATTCTTACTTATTTTGATGTGTTCTAGAATCATTGACGAGCATTTTCAACTTTTACTTAATGATGGAAAACGGACTTTTCTTTTTATACTTTCTTGTACAGAATTTTATTTGTTGAAGCGGAATTTCATCAGTCCTAGGGGGAAACCAGCAATTCCCTTTAGGGATTAAGAGTCTAGGCTCAGTCCCTGAAATCAATCCCCTCTTAAATATAATCAGTTTCAGTGTCTTCCTTTTTGGCTCTTACGATACAGTACGACCTGGGAGATGCTCAGTCCATATCATCAGACGATAAAAATTTGAAATGTCTCACAGTCTGACATATGTTGTTACAATGTCGGTCCAATTTTCTTACACGAGGAAATGATTTTTTTAATAAAATTATTAGACTTGGTACCAGCAAATACAGAAAATGACTGGGTTTAAAACGTTAAAAAGTGCTCAAAACCCAACCCCTGACCAGCACAACATAAGAACAAACATAAAAAATCAGTTAATGAAGGATTTTGAACCGTTTTCAAATATGATAACAACTAACTATAACAGTTCACGATTTATTGTCGGGTTAGTGTTGCTAAAATTTTTCTTTCCGAGGAAAATTGTCAACTCTCAAAATCTTCATTGTATATATTTTGCACTTTTCAAATTATATTTATAATGAAACAAAAAAAACAAGTGACTGTGAACAACTACACCAATTCATGATTGATTGATTGATGTTGGTATTAAACCCCATTTTCAGCACACTTTACTAAAATCATGATGGCCGGTTGTCATTGACAAAAGAAGCCGGAATACTTAAAGTGAACAAGCACCTTCAACAGAAAAACTTTCAAGTGATTCCTAATTAATTCCTTGTCTATTTGCTTCCCTCAAGTTGAACATGCTGAGATGCAATGCATGGAACTATAGAAAATTTAATTTAAATCAACACTATTAGGAGATTTTTATGTTTAGTTTAATCTTTTTTGGTGGAGACATGAGTGATTAGATTATTTGGGAGAAAAGCAACAATGGTACATAAATGTAGCAGGCTGGATTGGTGTGGTCTGCTTTCATTATTATTCAAGTTATCCGTTCATGTACCTTCTTCCACCTCAGAGCTATCAGCTCTTTGATTAAACTTATTTATACAAAACAATTGTTTTATTTTTTTTCAAACCAAGAAGGGAGCGTACGCACGCTACGTCCCCACCTGAAACTATCGCTGATACACGTACTATCATAATCTGAAAGTAAAAGAATCCATTCATTAAAAATATAACTGTAGTTTAAATTTTAATTAGCCAAACAATGGACCATCAAGAAATGGACCACCAAGAAATAGGAATCAAAAGGGTAACAACGGAAGATTATGAACGAGTAATGGCGATATTACCCCCAGATGAAATCTATCATGGAGGTGATTACCTGCCAGACTATTTCCACATGTTGCTTGAAATGCCAAACATAGAGATGTATGCAGCTGTCGCCGGAGATAAATTTGTAAGATTTCTTATCAAAATTATTATTAGTTGTTTATGAAAGAGTAATTAGTAAAGAAGTATTGTACGTAAAAATGGAAACATTCAGAGAAAAAAAAACACTCCCCGAAAAATATATTCAAATTAAAAATTTGAAAAGAAAGAACGAAGCTTTGATTTTTATATGACGATATTCAACAATATTTTGCAACAACACTTTTATTGTATATGAAAAAATGTTACAAGCATACTTTTGTCATTGATGTCGATAATTTGAAGCCATATCATATCATAGAATATTGCACTCTAACTTTTTGTTACGCACTGTGGGAAATATTTCGTTGTTATATACAATAATAGTTTACAATATAGCCTTCGTATGAGGTCGACACGAGGATATATCAACCTGAAAGATGTATATCGACTGAAGACAAAGTATTTGGTCGATATATATCTTAAGGTCGACCTCATACAAAGGCTTCAGTTGTTATATTATTGCTATTTTTAATAAACCTAAAATTGAGCATGAAATCATTTGATTGGTTTGTTAAAATGGTGTCATAAAGGATTAAGGTTTTTAGATTTTAAATTTTGAAATATTTTGAAAACCATAATCCTTTATGGCACCATTTGCAATATCACATTTCTTTCTACGGTTTTCAGTATATTTTTGAAAATACAGGTGAACACGTAACTCTTTGTGAACGAATCAAATAAGTTAGAATATACAAAATAATAATATAAAATAATACTATAAGATTTACCTGTCAGTGATTAAATTGATTTCCCAGGTTGGATTCAGTTTTATGAGCATAGTGGATGATGGTAAAACTGTAGTACCACGAGGCGGTCGAGTTTCGAAAGAATATTCTGGTAAAGGACTTGTCGGGCTAATGTCGAAATGGTTGGACGAAGGAGGACCACTTTACCGACAGGGATTTTTATATAGAGCCGCTATAGGAAATAAAGAAAATGCTCCACTGCTTCAACACGCTCGAAAAGGATTATGCAAAGAAATTCTTCAACAGGTTTATTTACAAATTTATGTTTATTTACAAATGTTCCATTTAAAATTTTTAAACAACCGTTTTCATTAAGTTGACAATTTTGTTATAATTTGACCGCAGTATGAAGATGTGAAAGTGTATGAAACATGTATGATATAGGAATAATTGATATTGAAAAACATTGGAGAGATATGTTTAATATGTTTCAATTAATTTATTGTTGCTTTCTGATTGAGGCCCAGTGCCAATATGTCATGCATATAATATTGATACAAAATTAAGATAAAAAATCTTTCTATATCAATTGATACAACGTAGGATCTGCAATTTAGATAGATCGAGATAAGTGTAGGAATAATAAACGCAAAAGGAATCATAAGGGAATGTTCGATAGGAACACACATTTTTCTTTGCAATACGGGACAGTCAAAGAGTGTCTGTACTGGTTCCTTAGTGAAATATACCTTTTTTCATGGATCAGAGATAGTTTTTTACGTGGTAATCAGTTACTTTGTTACTAATATCAATTCATTTGTATACTATAATAGATAAATATAAAGCCGGGCTGTAAGGTGTACACGTCCGGATGACATATTTAAAAAATGTCAACTGACCTTGACATTTTTTTGGATGTTCAAGGGTCAATGTTTCTTAACATGCTTACTACATGTAAAGGTCAGTTTATCATTTGAAAAGGTTAACTATATTTCGTCTTTTTATATTATAAGTATATGAGGTTTACATGTCTTTCTGACATGAGTTACCTGATCTTGACCTCTATATGCAGTTAAATGATCAACGTTAATCATGTAAAGTTTTCGCGCATAAATCATTTCCCCTGATCTGATAAAACTGTGTTTATAGATCCTTAACACAATTCTAAACACATCTTATGTGCATTTTTTTACACGTTTTGTTCTAAACATGTCTCAGTTCTAAACAGACTGTTTACGTGGACAATGTGTTTAAGATTGTGTTTAGGATCGTGTTTAGCTTAGAAATAAGTGTTTTATTTCTAAACATTTTCTTTCTTAAACACATTTAAAAGTGTTTAAATTCAAGACGTGTACGTTTAATGTGCTTACTGAGAAATGTGTTAAGATATTAAATACAATCCTAAACACGTTAAGAACTAAACATGTAATACATGTGTTTATATTCTAAGCACCATTTTTACATTGTGTGTAATAGGTCAGCTGTGGTCGATGCAATTGTTTGACGGGTAATATACTTTGAAATACCACAGTTTGATACGAGCAGTTCGGACACAATAATGGCTGTGTACACGTTTTGCCACAATTGTTAGGATAAATAATGTTTTTTCTATGGGTAACCAATCTAAAAACCAAAATAAAAACATAAAACTATCAGATCAACATATTGCACAATATTTAGCAAGTACACAAGCACGGTAATGTACACATTTTGATATCATGTTAAAAATAGCATGACAAAAACTTAAAATACAAATATTTCTACATTTCATATTTCATTTATTCAGTTTCAATTTTTATTTTGCAGGACTTTCGCTTTTACGACATTTGGAAATTCAATCTGGAAGATGAATTTAAGAAGCAAAGGGAATCAAACCAGTTTGTAAATGCACGATTTATCGAAAAAGATGAGTTTGGTCAAATACTAGAATCACGTGATCTTAGTCGATATTTTTTTCCAGAAGGCCGTGCTGTTGTTGACGACGTACCATACAAAACTATGCGATCAAATGCTCCACTGATATTTACAGAACGCACAAAAGTAGTAGTGACTGATACTAATAACCCACACGAAGCCATTTTATCAATTAGTAATTTTTTCAAGGCCCCTGTTGGAATGATTGTAAATTTGAATATATATGGCTGTTTGTCCGAAAAAATCAAATCTCATTTAATCTTACATGTCGAAAAACTGCTTCCCTGTTTAAGGAGCGACTTCATACTATTCCGTTGTATATCAAAACCAGATACAAATTGGGCAAATTTGGACAACGTGATGACTGAATTAGGTTTTAAAACAACACATTTTTATGGAACAGGTTTAGTTTGTGTGGAATGGAATTTAAAAAGCAAATTGTAACTATTGACAATATGATTTGATAACACTTAACTATTATCTTAAACTGCCGGTTAAACATGTTTAGAAAAAAATGGATGCAATGAACATACAGTTTTATCCAGAAATAGAATTGTTAGGTATGTTTGGCCCGAAATGTTTATCACAAACAAAAGTTACATGTATTAGATCTATTAGAACAAGTGATTTTTATTTTTGTCTTGCTTGCGACGAAGGTCGCGGAAGGCGAGATATGGGTGTGCTTTTCCGGCGGCGGCAACAATTGTTAAGTTTTCTGCTTAGGTCAGTTTGATAGGAACTACTTGTGATATATGAATAATATGTTCTATAAAGTTGCATTACTATCAGTACATATAAGTCTGACGACTATTTCGAGGCCCTTCCCCCTAGTCCAGTGACTTTGAATAAATTAGCAGTTTTCAATGTAAAGTTTCTGCTTAAGTGAATTTGATAAGAACAACTTATGACAGACATTAATATTTTCTTTGAAGTTGCATTACTACATGTATCAGTACATATAAGTTTGTCGGTCATTGTCCAGCAATTTTGAATAACATGTAATTAGCAATGTTGCTGTCCATCAGGCGAGACATATCTCTGTGTCAACAGTTTGTCTAGAGGACGGATAATTTTAGTTTTCATAATTTCAATATTAAAATGCTTTCTTGCTTGCCTTCTTTTACTGCAATTGTCATAATTAATTTTATGATGAATGAGATTTCCATTCTCCAAAATCCAATAGTCTTTTTACTTTTAAATGGTAAATAGGAACGGATTTATTAGAACATTTATATGATTGATTGCCATTCATAGAAATTGAAAAACCGTGTAGAAATCAATTGTGTAACTAAGATGGGGGTCTGGATGGGGTTTACAGAATAGAGAATATTGGACAACACGTGCAGATTAAAGGGCAAACAACATAAAGAATAGAGAAAAATAGGCAAACAAAAATTAGAATTGAGAATAATTGGGTGCTAAAATATAAAGACTAGAGATACCAGGAAAAAGTTATAAAAGAATAGAGAAACGTGGTCAAATAAAATTAAAGAATACACAACTGAAGGACCCCCATCCAGACTCTCTAAGATACCATTTGCTTGCACGATTGCTAAGTTCAACGTTTTTCTATTCTGACAATCCTTAACATGATTGATTCAAATGCGTGGTCACCTTAAATTGAACACTTGACAGTATACATTCATTGGTACCATGCGGCGGACAGGAAAACTGTTAGTTCATGTGCCTGTCCCATATTACCTTGTCAGTAACTGCTTTTTGTAATATCGTAATATTTTGGTCATTTAGATATTTGATTGATTGTTATCAATTGCTTTACGTCATGTCGTAATTATGACTTGCATGTTCAGAACGAAAACAAATTAACAAATAATACAATGTAGGTATGTTCTGCAAGGTAAGGCAATATTACGGAAAAGGGGGGGGGGGGGGGGGATTTTGATAGCCATTTGTAAATGAGGGTAATATGTTGGATAAGCGCAGACATTTTACATGGAACAGGCCGCCTATGGACACTCAGAACCTTGTTGCAATGATTCTTTATAGTGGATCCGATTAAACGTCCACTTTCTGACCGGGCTTGACTTGGTATTTACACATCCCACAGAGACAAACTTAAACAAGGGTTTTTACAAATGGATTTTAAAAATCTACGAATGACCATGAAATTTCTATACTGCTGTGCCGGTGGCCACTTTTATTTTTTTAAATCAAGCTGCCTTGTTATGTAGCAAGGAAACCCTAGTTTCTTCCGTGCTGTATATTTAAAAGATCAACAACAACAAGGCTAAACGAAAAACAGTAGCCACCAAAACATGTGATCATTTTAAAGACTTTTTTTTATTGGATGCAGCCAGTTACAACTGCAACCAATGGAAATCACTATCTCTTGGATTCGAAATTCTATTTTAATCCGCCGAGGGTGGAGGAGGGGACTGATCGTAACCTTTGGCTAGCGAAGATGGTGAATAATATGATTTTCGATTTTACTGAAATAATTTTATTGAAAATGGTGTAAGACATTCCAAAAACATATATCAAAGTTAAGCACAAAAATTAATAAAACTCTTAAGTTATAGATAGACCTTATTACCTATCGACGTCATTGTAAATTCCTTAACATTGATTAAGATACCGATGTCTTAGCTCTGTGAGTTTACTTTACAAAAGAATAATAGAACTGTGGGCACTTTATATGACTATTTGTCTTCGTGATTTTTTTTCCATGCATGAGTTGACTCTTTCTTGCTCTGTCTCTCACTCTTTTTGTATTCTGTGAGAGCTTAAACTAGCTTTTGACAATGTCTAAGTTATTATATGACATTGCTGCCGGTGTAGAGGCAATTGCTGTCGACGTAGAGACCAGCCGTTTTTGACTGGCACATATACATTGTAAATTCAGGCCTAACGTCTTAGGCGAATTTTGAATTCTCTACATGTAGCAGCCCTTTAATTGGTGTTATGGCAACGTGACTTTCTTGATTACTGCAAAATCGGGAGTTATTTAAATATGGTTACTGTCCGAAATAGTGTCAAAATGTTGTATAAGTTAATATCCTAAATATAACAGAGGTCAGTTTGACAATCATCATACTTAATAACCGTCCGGTGAAAAATTTGAAGTGGGTATAAATATAATAAAAAAATGTTTACATATCTGTAGAATATAAAAGATAAGCAATATGTCAAAAATGTTTGTTAAATATCTGTCACAATAGTAGTCTGTCAATGTGTCCATGTAAATAAGACATTCTTTGAATGTTTTAAAATGCGAGGACATATTATTTAAGATACAATGTAGCTATATCAGAATGTTGTTTATTTCTTCAACATGATGTCATCGCCGCTTAGATCTAATATGTTTGGTGTATTAGTAAATGCCATTTGCTCTTTTGTTGTGCAGTTACACCACTGTTTAACCCCGCCTCATTCTTTATGTGCCTGTCCCAAGTCAGGAGCCTATAGTTCAGTGGTTGTCGTTGGTTCATGTATGTCATAATTTGTTTTTCGTAAATTGTTTGTAATAAATTAGGTTGTTAGTTATCTCAATTGAATGGTTTCATATTTGTCATGTCGAAACCTTTTATAGCTGACTATACGGTATGAGGTTTTTCTCATTGTTGAAGGCCGTACGGTTGCCTATAATTGCTTACATCCACTTTATGTGAACTTTGGTGGATAGTTGTCTCATTGGCAATCATATCTCATCTCCTTATTCTTAATGTTGGTTTGGACACTTTGATGAAGGATATCCTAAAATAATAAAACTTTAAAAAAAAGTAATGAACCTTTCTAACCTTTCTGATTTAGAATAAGCAAAAATTTTTAAAATGAGGTCTACATTAAAATAAGTGGAACGTTTTGACGTGTGTATAATGAACAAGGAAGTTTCAATTTAAAACCTATGTTATGGTTCAGTACAAACTATTCAATTGTTACAAATATAAGACGTGTTTACTTATATTTTTTTGTTTGCATACAAAGACGAAAATAAACCCAAGAAGTATATAAGTCAGTGGTATAGGCGTGATGTAATATTTGATAAATAGGTTTTGGTGTATTATTCTTGGAATTGGAAGCTAAACTTCTTTGAATTGGAAGCTTAACAACAAAACTTTTTCAGTGTTTCAGGACGTTCTTAATCACTAAATAGGTGAAACGTAAGTAATACTTATATATAATGTTATATCATAATAACAGAAAGTTGGAAGGTAGTAATAAAAGTGAAATCGTTAAAACCTAAAATACACATTGATCAATTCATAAAAACAAAATACAAAAATTGATCAAAAGTTACAGACGGGTGCAATATTCTATAATATGTTCAATGTTTTCTTTTGCTATCTTTTTTGATACATTATATACATGATATATTGTCATTAGACGGTTGTCAAATGAGACCTACATTGCTATCACGTAGAAAAAAGTTTGAAGTGAGTTAAGAAGATTTGATTTGATTTGATTTTTGGTGTTTTAACGCCACTTTTAAGCACCGCTTTTGGGCTATTTCGTGGCGGCCAGTTTTTATTGGTGGAGGAAGCCGGAGTGCCCGGAGAAAACCACCGACCTTTGATAGGAAAACTGACAATCCTAGTCAATTAAGATTGGAGTCGAGTGCACCGGCACGAGCGGGGTTCGAACTCACAACCTTAGTGTTGACTGGTTAGTGATTACAGTAGTAACTACTTAGACCACTCGGCCACCGAGGCCCCTAATTAAGAAGAGAATGACGAACAATTATCATACTGGTTATATAAAAATAAGAAGATGTGGTATAACTGCCAATGAGACAACTCTCCACCAGAGACCAAACGACATAGAAGTTAACAACTACAGGTCACCGAACGGCCTTCAACAATGAGCAAAACCCATACCGCATGTCAGCTATAAAAGGGCTAGAAATGACAAATGTAAAACAATTCAAACGAGAAAACTAACTGCCTGATTTACGTAAAAAATCAATGAACGAAAAACAAATATGATACACAGCAACAAACGACAACGACTGAATTACAGGCTCCTGACTTGGGACAGGCACATACAGAATGTGGCGGGGTTAAACATATTAGCGGGCGCCCAACCCTCCCTCAACCTGGGACAGCGGTGTAACAGTACAACATATGAACACACTATAAAAATCAGTTGATAAGGACTTAACTCATCAGATCACAAAAAACACATAAAGGACGTGGCAGGGTATCTATACATCCCTAAAACAAACAAAAAAAGACACTAAGTACAGATCTGAGAGTACTGGCAGTTGTTTATAATTACAAGTTTTTTTTATACAACCACAGCAATCAACTAAAAAATAACTTCATACTTATACTAAAAGTTACAATTTTAAAACTTCTTTTCATAGTTCCCGAGAGTGATACGAACGGTTGTGACATCATTCATAACATACTGTCTGTTCATTTTCTGTCGATTAATTTGCAAAATATTCACAGAATAAAGTACCAACGTTCTCAGGCAATTTCAAAGTTGATATTAGACGGATTTGGTTCTTCTTTTCCTATCCCTTTTGTTCATATGGCTTCTCGCGTGTTAAATGATTTTAATTTTATCCAGAAAAGTGCGTTGATGTTTTCATTTCATAAACAATATTTAAATTGTTAATCTGAACATATACCTGATTTTTTTGTTTAATTCCGTTCCAAGTAATTACATTGTTAAAAAGAACTTAATATGAACATTTTAGATATATATTTTCTTTCGTCTAAAGTATGCTCAGTCAGGATTCTATTTCGTCAAAATTATCTACCCATTACGCCTCCTAATTTTTTCAATCGTTAAAATTGTTTGTCAGGGGAAATTTTCGAAAGTTCAAAAACATTTAGACAAAATTATAATTAGATATTTCGTGGAAAGGCAGAATAAACATTTTCAGACGTTGAACATGTTGAAGACTTGTAACCCTAGAAAACACACACATTTTTTTTAAGTTATATTTTTTTTGGATCCACGTGTAAAGTCTGTCGTCAAGTACTTTTAGTTAAAAAAAAATGTTATTCCAACACGCTTACTCTTTTGTTATGACTCATTAGAAAGGTATTTCACTTGATCTTTAGTTTAGTTTGAACATATTTTATTTGCTTAAATATGCAAAAGGCATGAGACACAAGTTAATCTTATGAAGTCTTCTCCCATGAACAATTTATAACAATAGATTTTTTTACAAAGCATGCACGCAAACAATACATTATATATATTGGATATGTAAAAAGATGATGTGTGATGATGTGAATGGTTGTACACAATATACATGTATATGGACTTTAGTGTGCTGTATTACACAATTAGAAACCTTTTTGACTCTTTAATAAATTCATATACTTTCTTTAAAATTCTTTCATTTAATTAATTAATGACGAATCACCGGATGTTCAAATTTAGTAGAGAGTTCTCTGGTAACCAGTTCAGATTATTAGATAGTTTGATTCTTATATTCGTATAATTAGGACATTCAAAAAAGAAGTGAAATGAATCTTCACGCTTGATCTTTAACGTCACGGTAACTACATTGCAACCATTTATTAAAAATAGCAGCGGAAATCTTCGGTAGGTAACATTCGAGGTAAAGAGTACGGGATTGTGGATATGACAGTTGGGCCATATCTGTCGTTATCTGTGAAACAGATGTTCCATAACGTTCAACCAATATGTGATGGCGTCGGCAATATTTTCGAATGGATAATTTCAACTTCACCACATGGAATTCTAGGTTTTAATAAAGATATCCGCACTTTTGACATAACTTATACTTAACCTAAGTATCAACGGTAGCAATCGGCAATCTTCGGGTGAATCCGCTACTCTCCTTCTCCATAACGTTCAACCAATATGTGATGGCGTCGGCAATATTTTCGAATGGATAATTTCAACTTCACCACATGGAATTCTAGGTTTTAATAAAGATATCCGCACTTTTGACATAACTTATACTTAACCTAAGTATCAACGGTAGCAATCGGTAATCTTCGGGTGAATCCGCTACTCTCCTTCTCCATAACGTTCAACCAATATGTGATAGTGTCGGCAAAATTTTCGAATGGATAATTTCAACTTCACCACATGGAATTCTAGGTTTTAATAAAGATATCCGCACTTTTGACATAACTTAACCTAAGTATCAACGGTAGCAATCGGCAATCTGCGGGTGAATCCGCTACTCTCCTTCTCAGTTAGAGGAACAGAATCGGCCGAGATTAGACGAGGGAACCAAGTTAGATGGAGGAACGGAATAAAGAGTTTAGACGAGTAGTAACTATGTAGCGTATTTTCCATGGGCGATAGCAAACTAAGATTGAAATGAATTATCTCCCGTTGAATAGATAACAAATTGAAACAAACCTTAACGGTACGAAGGAATTAAATGTATTTGAGATATGGTCACATCCTTCAGTGAATTATGTATTATGCTTCAATTCGAGACGACTCATTTTGTATTTCAGAGATAACAAATTCAAAATGTCAAATATCCACAAGTCTGAGTAAAGAACTTTTCAATCGTAATTATTATAGACTTGCGTAACATTAGAAGAGTCGTGTGTGAATATTTATAGATAGACGGCACTAGTGAAGGCATCAGAAGTAAAAATCGTACACTGGAAATTGGATCCAAAGTGCCTAGTGGTAAATATCACAGTCGCATTAATTTGTACGCTATGGTAGTCGGGTCTTCCTCCATATTTGACCGGGTTGGACGACTCCAAAACCGGCTTATATATAGAAATAAGAAGATGTGGTATGAGTGCCAATGAGACAAGTCCATCCAAGTATGAATATGACGGTTTGTCAGGTGTGAAAGGTGGGTACCTTACTTGTGTAATCAACTCCTCCTACAGTTCTCAACCCAGATCCTTGAAACTTCACAGGAAGATTGCACATATTTTGAAGCTATGTACCTGTTTTTATATCGAATTGTTTAAGGATTTTTTTCTCAATTTTCCAGACTTGGGAACTTAGTGATTTTTAAGCAAAATTAATGAAAGAGAATACAAGATTTGTTCAATAAACTCGTACACTTTTCAACACAGATCCCTGAAACTTCACAGCAGGATTGCACATATATAGAGTTTGTGAACCTGCTATTATGGAATTGTTTGAGGATTTTTTTTCTCTCGTTTTCTGACTTGGGAACTTAGGAAACAACCATTTAACTTCAAGGGGGGGGGGGGGGGGGGGGGGTGAGTTATGGTTTTTTCCTAAAAAAATATTCTGATCCCCAATTTGAGGAAACAAATATTGTGGTCAAGCAGATGACAAAAAAAAATATTCTGAATCCAGATTTTCCCCATACCTTGTAGTGTTAAATTTTGAAAAAAATAATTTGATTGATAGCGTAGAAAAACTTTAAAAAAACAAATTCTGACTCAGACAAAAAAACCAAATCACCCCCTTTCCCCCTTGAAGTTAAATGGTTGCTCTCTTACTCATTTTTCAAATATTTAAATATTTAGTATAGAGTATTCTCCAATTGTTTTAGAAATATTCTGCGCAACCCGACCATTTGTATCTTTGATCTTTTTTCAATAATAAAATAGCAAAAAACAATCGGTTTAGAATTGTATTGAAAGAGGCAGGAATACAAATCATTCGTAAAACCTTTCGTTTTAATGAAAAAAATTATTATTACAACTTATTTTTATATATGCATAATATTTTGGGGAGATTTAAGGAAAAACAAAACAATTGTCACTATGAAATAAGAGGATCTGGAAGGGTGGAGGGGACGGTCATAGATATTTGAATTCTTTAAATTTTATGGGCATTTTTCTTTATCTTTTAAAAAATAACGCGTATTCTGTAAAATTCTCATGAAAATTGTTGCCTATTATTTTTTTCTGTAATTAAATGATTTCTTTATTCTGCACATCGTTCATTTCTGTAATCAGTATTTTATCACCTTATTTATTTATTTTCCCTCCGCAGTTATTCTTTATTCTTTCCCATCCAATTATTCTCTATTTTTTGCTAAATTTTTCTCTATTCATTATTTTTTTGTTCATTATCCTCTATTCGGTCAACTCCATGCAGACCCTCAAATGAAGACGATGTGAAGTATACGTCAACGACACAATCAAACAACACAAATACTGAAGACATACAAAGGTCAATATAATGTCTTCAACATAAGTAACATGTCTACAAGATCGTTCAAGCTCTAAATCGCTCTGAGTCGAAAAGAGATACGAATACATTTACTATATATACTTTATTCTGATAAACCGCTGTAAATACAAAGGTACACAGAAGAACATAGACATTATACAATATTACAAAGGTACATATGTTGAGGAAATAAACAATACAATAGAAATACATGAATATGTTTACATGTTAAAAATGTGCGGTGTATATTAAATGGAAGACCTTAAAATATGACAGAGGAGGGAGAAAGTTAATTGAGAAAAATTCAATCCACTTCATCGTTTATAATTCTAATTAAATTGCACAAATTTCTAAGCTTTGACTGTTTTGATATATTCATAAGTTCCCTGAACTTAAGAATATTACAAATGGTTTGTGAATTTTTATCTAAATATTTATTTCTTTCTGTTGTAAAAAAGTTGCATTTGAGGAGACAATGCTATTCATCACCAATATCACCATTTCATAAGACAATGCAGTATTGTTTCATAAGAATCCGTAATTTTGATTGGCTGACATAAATCGAATAGAACGCAACATTCGTGATATCGTCAAAACAATACATTCGGAAAACAAACGAAAAATGTAATGTACATGTAATTTGAAATGTCATAGGCGTAGCATAAAAATTTAAGTATAAGAATTGAACGTTTCTTTTTGTAATTTTGTGTGGTTGTTAAAACGTTGATCGTGTGCACGTTTCTAGGACGGCGCTTCATATAAAATATGTTTCGGCTAACGCTTTTGCATTCCAATAAAATTATAAAAAGACGCTTTCAATTCTTATAATTACATGTTTATGCTACAACCATGACATTGATAATTATATCAAATTTTTCGTTTGTTATCTCATGCCGCAAGTGTAAATGCCTCTTATATGTATTTCAGAAATATCAACTTCAAAATGACAAATATCCACATGAGTAAAGAAATTTTTAATCGTTATATGGAGTTAAGTGATAATGCTAGAGTCATCTGTGAATATTTATGGATAGACGGTACTGGTGAAGGTATCAGAAGTAAATGTCGTACACTTGAATTTGAACCCAAAGTGCCTAGTGGTAAGTTTCAAGGTCTCATTATTCTGTACGCTATTAGAGTTATATGATTAAGATAAATAATAATAACAAAAAGAAAAAAGCTAGGTTTAGAATTTTAACGAAAAAAAAATTTTGAGGCATAAATGCAATTTCATTCCGTAGTTTTTTTGTTGTTTTTTTTCATTTGACTTAAGAAAATTATGTGATTTTATCTTATTATCACGACATTTTTACAAATACGGAATATATTCTAATGGATATAAAAAGAATAACATTTAATCTTATAATTGGAGATAACTCAGATAATTTAATCTTATAAAGATAGTATATTAAGTTTTTTTTTTTTTTTTTTTTTTTTTTTTTTTTTTTTTTGTATTCAAGCAAGAAAAACGTTTTTGAAAATAGTCTTCGTGACATATACTATTTATTTTATATCAAAACTGAACGATATAAAGACATTTTGGCAAATTTTGAAAACAAAATTTTATGTGTTAACCCTATAGTTGGCAAATCAGTATAATACATGTACATTGTGTGTATGTTACTATTCCCAGATTGGTAGCATCCTAAGATTACTTGTACATAAAAGCAAACGCTGGAACATTTCTTAATTCTAAAATATTTATGAATTACATAATGTTTTACTTGAGCATATTTGAAACCAAAGTAGAACGTAGACGGTGGTTTATGAAAACACTTTACGTTACACATGTTCGAAGGGCTAGAAATAACATGATATTTTATGTATGATTGTGTTTTGACATCTAATAAACTAAATGCATGTATTTTTTATATTTATTTATGCATGATTTTTTTCAATCTGGTTGTTAAGTTTATCTTTATTTTTGTAACGATCATTTATCACATGTAGATTGTCCAATGTGGAATTATGATGGAAGCAGTACATACCAAGCTGAAGGGTCAAATTCAGATATGTACTTGTTACCAGTGGCTTTGTTTAAGGATCCATTTAGATGTGGACTGAACAAACTGGTACTGTGTGAGGTATTGAAATACAACAAGAAACCAGCAGGTAAGCAATCACGCATATGTACAGTAAAATGGACAAATGTGTCAAATAAGATGGGGCAAGTACTAATTGGTGCAACGCCAACTGGAAACTGACAAAATATTCTTCGACAAAGTCACATAGACAGCGAATATATCATTCAAATGTGATATTGTTAATGAAACTTTTTAGTTTTCTATTGTTTTTGTGTTGCCTATCTGTAGTTGTCGTATAGGAACAAACAGATCGGTCGCGTTGGACTGCCAATTAAAATGTCGAAAATCGAAACGGAGATAAACACTAAAAAAAAACAAATATCAACACAATCAACACAGTTAAACATACATGAGATCTTTTGGACATAGTTCGGGAATAAAAAAGATAACCACGGAACCACGGAACCAGGAACACATGATTCACTAGTCGTATGTCATAACAGAGACGTTAATATATAATAACAAACAGTCAAGTTTGCTGTAGGAACAAGGCTTCTAAGGGAAATCTGTTTCGAGTCATCTAGAGATAGTTTTTAAAAGTAAGTATACAAATAAGAAGACGTGGTATGATTGCCAATGAGACATTTATCCAGAAACCAAATGACACAGAAATTAACAACTATAGGTCAACGTACGGCCTTCAACAATGAGCAAAACCCATACCGCATAGTCAGCTATAAAAGGCCCCGAAATGACAAATGTAAAACAATTTAAACGAGAAAACTAACGGTCTAATTTAAGTACAAAATAATGAACGCAAAACAAGTATGATACACAGAAACAAACGACAACCACAGAATTACAGGCTCCAGACTTGGGACAGGCACATACAGAATGTGGCGGGATTAAACATGTTAGCGGGCGCCCAACCCTCCCCTAACCTGGGACAGCAGTGTAACAGTGCAACAAAAGAACAAGGTCTGGCATTAATAGTTTACTTAATACATTAAGTACAAATAATTCGCAAAACATGTCACATGAAACTAAAAACTCAACTCTCACTAATAAACGGTCCTGAACGTCCAACAAAACAAACCTAGCTGTCCCTAAACACATGTATCATCAAAGCTCCTACTTGACCAGTGTAGTAGCTCCCGTTGTTTATCTGAAGGCAATACTAAAATCTTGTAGATCTTAACGTCATGGTAATATGATTTTTGAGCGATGAGTCCGTATAATGAAACACATTAGGAATTTTATGTTTTTCTTTTATTAAGAAAGTAATAAAAGGCATACTTGTGCCAAAACTATGGTAAAAGCTAAAGACGCCCATCCATGGTTTGGAATAGAACAAGAATATACATTGACAGATGTCGATGGACATCCATACGGATGGCCAAAAAGTGGATTCCCTGCTCCACAAGGTAAGGCTGTCTGAATTCAACCCCGAATTCTATCGACAATAGTAGAGACATGCGTTGTTGTTCAGATACAATATATTTCACACTGTTGGCGGTTGTGCTAAATGCAAAAATATGTCTTCATGTGTTAATCTGGAATCGTGTTTGTCATAGTGATTTTATGGTTATTTGTATGTAATATTGTTGAAAAATCCATCTGGCATATTGTAAAGATATTGAAACATTAGATTTAGTTCAGTTTCGAATATTACCCGTTTTGATTTCAAATACCATGAATCCGCAGCCCGCGGGGCAAATGGTAATACTAGTTCTTCTCTAGAAATCTCTTTTCTTTAAGAGAAAATGGAAATAATGAGCGGCACACTTATTCAAAGAGTTTAATAAAAACTGATATTTTATGTCATAATCTTAATGTAATAAATCAAAATTGAGAATGGCAGTGGGGAATGTATCAAAGAGACAACAGCCCGACCATAGAACAGACAACAGCAGAAGGTCACCAACAGGTCTTCAATGCAGCGAGAAATTCCCGCACCCGGAGGCGTCCTTCAGCTGGCCCCTAAACAAATATATATACTAGTTCAGTGATAATGAACGCCATACTAAACTCCAAATTGTACACAAGAAACTAAAATAAAAAATAATACAAGACTAACAAAGGCTAGAGGCTCCTGACTTGGGACAGGCGCAAAAATGCGGCGGGGTTAAACATGTTTATGAGATCTCAACCCTCCCCCTATACCTCTAGCTAATGTAGAAAAGTAAACGCATAACAATACGCACATTAAAATTCAGTTCAAGAGAAGTCCGAGTCTGATGTCAGAAGATGTAACCAAAGAAAATAAACAAAATGACAATAATACATAAATAACAACAGACTACTAGCAGTTAACTGACATGCCAGCTCCAGACTTCAATTAAACTGATTGAAAGATTATGTCTTCATCATATGAATATCAGGCACAATCCTTCCCGTTAGGGGTTTAGTATCATACCATCATAACATATATGAGAAGAACATAACCCGTGTCATGCCAACAACTGGTTTTTAAATAAATGTGTTTAGTGCCGATGCAAAGACCCTAAAAGTGAATCAATATTAATGCCAAAATATGCAATCTTTAATGACCTGACAACAGTATCGTAACTATATCCCTTCTTAATAAGTCTATTTAAAGGTTTTGTTAGCTTCAGAGGTGAATACTGACATTTTTGTGCTTTATAAAGAATATTTCCATAAAAAATTGGATGTGAAATACCTGAACGTATAAGAAGTCTGCATGTTGAGTTATATTTACGAATGATGTCCTTATACCGATATATGTTTTCATTTTGAAAAAAAAATTACATAGTTTTTACATAGTTTTCTTTTATCGTCCAAGATGAAACTTTATAGCTTGTTTTCATTTGTGTAGGTCCATACTATTGTGGTGTTGGAACAAACAAGGTATACGGGCGTGACATTGTCGAGGCACATTACAGAGCATGCCTATATGCAGGCGTAAATATAGCTGGGGCTAATGCTGAGGTGATGCCTGCCCAATGGGAGTTCCAGGTCGGACCATCTGAAGGCATAGACATGGGAGATCATTTATGGGTAGCACGTTATCTGTTGCATCGTGTTGCCGAGGATTTTGGTGTAGTCGTCACGTTAGATCCAAAACCTGTCGAGGGAAACTGGAACGGAGCTGGAGCACACTGTAACTATAGTACATTGGGTATGAGGGAACCAGGTGGAATCAAGTAAGATTTAATTAGGCATTAAAGCTTGTATGATTTATCCCAAGGGTGAATGGGGTATATAATTACGTCCCATGTGTATTTCTTCCTGTCACGAGTAAGGCACATTTGTTTAGCTGTGCGAGATGTACAAATACACAGCCACAGGTCAGAGTTAATCCAAAACTGTACGTTAAAGAACCATTGTTACAACTCTTTAAGGGTCTGGAGGTGACTTGTTGTTAGGCTAAATTTCTACCTCTATCCAAATTACCCTTATGTCTAGTGGCAGTACAAATTTCATGCCCTTGATTATGGTCGGTCTACCTTGTAGAACCTGTCTATCGTATTAATTGTTAATGGCTTATCGTCGTAAATATGCATGAAATAACTGCCTTTAAGGATCTTGTCAGGTCAGCTTTAGGAATTGTTGTCATATGTTCGGACTCCTTGGGTTTTTGCCTACGATACAGGGTAAAATATGTTGTCCCACTTTTCTTTTCATATACGACTTCAATAGCTCATAAAAAGGTCATTACCAAAATTTTAGCAAATTCTTGATTTTTATGCCCCACCTAGGGGCATTATGTTTTTCGGTCGGTGCGTCCGTTAGTCCGTCCGTCTGTCCCGCTTCAGGTTAAAGTTTTTGGTCAAGGTAGTTTTTGATGAAGTTGAAGTCCAATCAACTTGAAACTCAGTAAACAGTCATGTTCCCTATGATATGATCTTTCTAATTTTAATGCCAAATGAAAAGTTTTGACCCCAATTTCACGGTCGACTGAACCTAGAAAATGATTGTGCGAGTGGGCAGGTTGAAGTTTTTGGTCAAGGTAGTTTTTGATGAAGTTGAAGTCCAATCAACTTGAACCTCAGTACACATGTTCCTTAGGATATGATCTCTTCAATTTTAATGCCAAATTAGAGTTTTTACCCCAATTTCAGGGTCCACTGAAAATAGAAAATGATAGTGCGAGTAGGGCATCCGTGTACTATGGATAAATTCTTGTTTTCTAAGATTTGAGACCCAAATAATGCCAATGCTGGATATAAGATAAAGTCCGAGTCAGCCTTTTCCCGCCATTTTTTGAAAATTAAATATCTCAAAAAGGAGTTCCATAACCTATCAATATGTTTTGCTTATTTTGTTCCTTAACCGATGTTCTTCTGACTCATAGTTTCAATTTTAAATTCTATATTTTTTAAATTTCACCTTTTTAAATCTTTAAACAAGAATTAGTACTAGTAATAGTAATAGTCAGTACTCAATCAATTCTTTCTTATTCCTATTAAGTAAATTTTAAAGTTGCAACTCGCTTCTTGCATTTGTTCGAATTGTCTCTCCTTGAAGCGCGCGTCTGGCGCAAATATAAAATTTCAATCCTGGTATCTATGATGAGTTTATTTAGGAAGCTATCTTTTTATGTATATTTTCCTATTTATGATAGAAATTAGGTCGTCATGTAATTGTAAGGTATATGACACTAAAATATTCCTATACATACAAAACAAAGTAATAATAGATTTGTGATGAATATTGTTTTAATCCATTTACCTTAATCCAATTTACATAGGAATCCTATTAACAAACTCCGAAATATGTCCGGAACTGGTAAGGTTAGATTAAAACATCTCATAGATGCTTTCCAATTTATATAGTCATATATATTGGTTTGGTTAAACATTTTCGCGATAGAGTCTTTGAGTCGGGTTTAGTCTTTTATTTAGGAGAGGAGGACAAGATCGGGTATACAAAGCCGTGAATGTAGTAAGTATATTAGTCTGTGAACGTTAACCAAGACACACAAAGAAATAGAGGTGAGAATCAATACAGCTATAATTCTGAGGAAGGATTAAGAAGCATTGTTCCTGAATAAGGAAAAGCGTTTATAAGATAATTTCATAAATGAGTAGCTGCTAAAGAAGCAATGGCGTCAAGCCTTGGATAAAGTTTAAAGCATTGACCCATTTTTAAGAGCATTGCCTTAAAAAGCAATTAAGAGCATTGACTGTAAAAAAAAGCAGTACACATATTACAAAATCAGAAAAATAAGGCATCTCCCTTTGTATCGATTGTTCACCACTACAACCCATGCTACTTTATTAGAGAAAAGAAGCTATAATCCCTTACTATGTCCGGTGAAATAACTCTGATACGAACTCAGAATATTACCTACCCCTTACCCCCGGTACGTGACAGATTTATAACAGAGCTTTCTTAGTTCCTCATTGATGAATTTAGAAATTAATAAAGAAAAACTACCTCAGACAAAGTTGATATCTATGAATATGGATTTAGCTATTATTTTCATGTTCTTTTTGGTCACACAGCTATTAACATGATTAACGTATTTCAATACTTATACATGTACATACTTGGCTTTCAAATATTTGGCTTTGAGCGATCCTAATGGAGGTAAATCTAGAAAAGCTCTTTGGACACCTATTATTTATTAAAAGTTATTTCCATTATTATGTATATGCATCCAAAATTTATTGAACAAATATAGGTCGCAACACTTTTTCCAATGTAAAAAAATCACAGCTTTATAGGCATGCTATTTGCGAAATTATTTTTTTATGGACCAAATCATATATCTTTAGAAATTGATTACTTTTAGAGTCCATTATGAATATCAATCGGTTTTCAGGAAATTAAAAGGGAAAAGGCACTGTCTCCTATTAAAGAATTATAATTTAAAAGAAGACTTAATGGGAATTGCTGTTTTAATAAACTGATGCAACGTATACAAAACCTAGCATGAATTTCAAAACCCTATTGATTTGTTATCATTGATTTGTTATCATCGAATTGTTATCATTGATTTGTTATCATTGATTAGTTATCATCGAATTGTTATCATTGGTTTGTTATCATTGATTTGTTATCATCATATTGTTATCATTGATTTGTTATCATTGATTTGTTATCATCGAATTGTTATCATTGATTTGTTATCATCATATTGTTATTGATTTGTTATCATCGAATTGTTATCATTGATTTGTTATCATTGATTGTTATCATTGTTTTGTTATCATTGATTTGTTATCATTGAATTGTTATCATTGATTTGTTATCATTGATTTGTTATCATCGAATTGTTATAATCGAATTGTTATCATTGATTTGTTATCATCGAATTGTTATCATTGATTTGTTATCATTGATTTGTTATCATCAAATGTTATCATTGATTGTTATCATTGATTTGTTATCATTGATTTGTTATCATCAAATGTTATCATTGATTTGTTATCATTGATTTGTTATCATTGATTTGTTATCATTAAATGTTTACACGTCTGATAGCTATTGTTTAAATTTCAGAGAAATCGAAGATGCTGTCGAGCGTCTAGAGAAAGCGCATGAGCGTCATATCAAGGTTTATGACCCTAAGGAGGGGAAAGATAACGAGCGTCGATTAACAGGCAAGCACGAAACATCCAGCATTTATGAGTTTTCTGCTGGTGTAGCGAATCGTGGTGCAAGTATTAGAATTCCACGTCAGGTAGCGGAAGACAAATGTGGTTATCTGGAGGACAGACGACCATCTTCAAATTGCGATCCCTATGCTGTTACAGAAATCATTGTAGAAACTACTCTTTTGTCAAAGTAATTTGATCCACTCAATCACAAAGTCAACATACTAACTGTTCAAACACTGACCAAAATTTTAAGTATGGCCATATTTAGTATTATAGCCGACATTTATGTAACTATATACATATATACATATTGGTGAATGGTACTCAGTATAATTTTGTTTCCGTGTTATTGCATCGGTTTATTTGTAACGCTTTTGAATGATAATATGTGTTCTGGACAGATGAATATTAAAAATTATTACATTGGTTGCAATGAATTACATTGATTTCCCAGTGAAATAAAAACCGATAATTTCACATGTGAAATAGAAATAAACGTGGTTATTTCACTCCTCTGACGTCATACAACAATAGGCGTTGTCAAGACGTCGATAACGTCGGATCAAAACAAATTGTGAATGCGTAGAAAAAAATATAGTTCCTAACATTTTCTACTTTAATTTTATAAAAAATTCAAATCTCGAAAAATATTCAACTCGTGACCGAACAACATTGATAATTAACTCAAGCGCTACGCGCATTCGTGAGTTAATGTGTTGTTCGGTCAGTCGTTGAATATTTTTCTGTATTTGAATTCTTCGATTAGTTATTCTATAAATCTACCGTAGCTTATATGATCAACAGGCATACATACTATAAACCATAGAGATATACTCTATATTGACATTCTGAAAAAATCGAGGAAGAAACTTTATGATAATATAAGATATAAAAGAGGGACGAAAGATACAAGAGGGACAGTCAAACTCATAGATCAAAAATAAACTGACAACGCCATGGCCAAAAATAAAAAGACAAACAGACAAATAATAGTACAGATGACACAACATAGAAAACTAAAGACTAAGCAACACCAACCCCACCAAAACAGGGGGTGATCTCAGGTGCTCCGGAAGGGTAAGCAGATCCTGCTCCAATAGTTGTAGTGTTGACACAACACAACACAAGTCCTGATACAGTTCGTTATAATATCACAAGTCCTGACACAGTTCGTTATAATATCACAAGTCCTGACACAGTTCGTTATAATATCACAAGTCCTGACACAGTTCGTTATAATATTCATTTTATTTTCACTTTTGATATGTGTCTCACCCATTTAATGAACTTCGTGTGTATACATTAAATCATCATCGTACCTTGTGGGTTTTCGGGAACATTCATTTATTGGACTAATGTTGAAATTATGTCATTTTTTATGCATTACCGCTCTATGTCAAACAATTAAAATATCATCAATCGTTAATTATACTCTTCTTTTAACATGATTTGTTCATATACTGTGATTTGTCTAATATGTTATGATTTTTTTTCTTTTTGAATTTGTTAGTGAATAGTGTTTTTAAGTATGCAGACAGTTTTTGCAGTTGTCCTTCCAGTTTTGAAAAACAAAAAATTTAAAACCAGAAAAAAACAAAGAAACAAAATATTAAAATTTTAAGCAATTTTCAGATATAAGATTATGCTTCTACTAAAAGAAAAACAATTGTCTTTACGCCAAGTAGGAGGAACAGTAGCTGTGATTCTTGTTATTAACTTGTAATAACCAAATTAACATGATAAATGAAGTTTAGTTGATTCAGATTGCTTCGGGGTTGGTACTTTTCTTATACAAATGCATACTTGGAAAATGTAGAGAAAGTGTATTTTTTACTCGTAATAGCAGTATATAGTGTTGGTTTTTTATCTGCTTATTATAATTACAAAAGAATGGATTTTTTATATTATGATGTTTTATGATATTTTTATCGTGTGTTTTACAGTCTCTCATAACTCTTTTTTAAAGTGGTTCTTTTATAAATTGATCTGTTATTATCTATTTTATATTGTGTTATATATCAAATGTTTTAAAGAAGTGAGACTCTAATAAAGTATTTGTTTATTTATTTGTTTGTTTGTTTGTTTGTTTGTTTGTTTGGTTGTTTGTAAATAGGGTCTTTTACTCTTCTGGTGGCAATGAGTAATAGGTCACTTCTCTTTTAAATCCCAAATGTTTCCCTAAATATTGGCATGCACCATCTCTTTTATAAATTGATCTGTTATATTGTGTTTTATATCAAATGCTTTAAATAAGTGAGATTCTAATTAAGTATTTGTTAATTTGTTTGTTTGTTTGTATGTAAATAGGATCTTTTACTGCTCTGGTGGCAATAAGTAATAGGTCACTTCTCTTTTGAATCCCAAATGTTTACCTAACTATTGACATGCCCCCCTAATAAAAATGTGGTATGATTGCCGATTAGACAACTATCCGCCAGAGCTCAAAATGACGGGGATATACGCAATTATAGGTCACCGTATAAGTCTTCAACAATGGAAAAAAGTACTATCGTATACTTAGCTATAGAAGGATAACCCTTTACTCTTTCAATATCAATCAAATCAGCTATCAATGCTAGAAGTATGTTATTAAATTGAAAAAAAAAATCTCTTACTAAAACACAGACATGTAAGAGTTCATGTAAGAAGACAGCTGTAATTGCATTATAGTCCCTTAAATTTGGCCATGTATTACTGAATCATTTGGTCTTTAACCAAGGACCTAATGAACTTAAGTCACAACTCTGCCAATTGGGGTTAAGAAAAACGCATAAAGCCACGGTTTATAAATAAATGATGTAACTTTTGCGACACAAAGCTGAACTAAAAACAGTCCTAGTACATACATGTATGAGAGGATACAATGAATAGGAGTAGTTCTTTAGCCGTATATTGGAATACCGTCGTGGCTGGTATTATGGGTGAATGCATTTACCAAAGATTGAAAACGTATGTTAACATTCAGCAATCTATTACACAAACCTAAGAATGTCTTTTTTGGGATTTGTGCACATCTATGCATAATAAAAACGCTAACTGTAATATAATACCTTGCATCTTCCTCTATTCATATTTTATGTTTTATGTGTCAAAAAGTTGTTACCTATTTACTAAACATTGAAAATATTATCGCATTTGATAGCTGATGTTTTACATTTAAAAAAAATCTATTTCACGGCACCCCCTTTTTCTAAAAGAAAAATCAAAACACGAAACAATGCAAAAAACAAAAGTAAAACAAAAACACAAAAAAGTGTTTTCTATACATAATACGAAACAAAATAAACTACTTCTTTCAGAGGTTAGCATATGATGTAAAGGGCTTGAAACCCTTATATAGTACACAATTTACAAAATTTCCTCAGAGAAGGTATTGGCAAAAATCTGGATCGTATATATACGTATTATATACGTTTGTAGGGTTTTTGGCATTTTTCGTATTTTTTGAAGTTGTGATCTGCACAGATTAAAATTAAAAAGTGCCAAAAAAATTTAAACAACAACTCAGTGATAAAACGAGTCTTTATCATGGTTTCTTCCTGATAACAAACACAAATTTTGCAAAACTTTGAAAATATCCGGATTATTATACCTTTTTCATGAATCAAATTTTACATATAAGTTTTTATAGTAAAATATTTAATCTAACCGCAGTCTAGTTATTACAGTCTATTTTGTTGGGAACATAGCCCTCGTCGGGACTGAGTGAAACCCGAACGTACATTGAGGCGACGGGATTAAATCTTAGATGAAACTATTCCCTTTTCTCTAGCTCCTAGTAATGTTGTAAGATATAAGGGGGATGGCTCAGATGTAAACAATAAACTTGAGTTTAACCCCGATACATTTTATTTTCGTAAACGTGTCTGTGTCCCACGTCAGTGAGGAACGTTGTCGTTATTGGTCGTATGTCATATCGTCATGTTACCCCCCCCCCCCCCCCCTCCCCTTATTTAGAGAATTGAGTGTTAATAGCAGATCTTTAATTATTTCTGTTGAATTTATTTATATGTGTCATGGAATCGAGACATATTGTGTAAGTGTGGTCACCTATCTATTTGTCGAAGACTGTATGTATACATCAAGATTTTTTTTATTCGTTTCTGTCGTCGGGCTGTTGTTCCATTGACGTATAATTCCCCTCTGATTCTCCTTCTATTTCATACTTAATTTTTCGTGTACAATGCTGGCTGAAAAAATATATAATTTTATTAATTGATTGACTGGTGTTTAACGCCACTTCAACACTTTTGTGCTATTTCGTGCATGGCGGTCAGTTTTTATTGACGGAGGAAGCCGGAGTGCCCGGAGAGAATCGGTAGGAAAACTGAAAATCCTAGTCGATACAGATTAGAGTCGAGTACACCAGCCCCGTGCGGGATTCGAACTCACAACCTCAGTGTTGACAGGCTTGTGATACAGTAGTTCGACTACTTAGACCACTAGGCCACCAAGGCCCCGAAAAAAATATATAAATCTGACAGCACTTATAATACATATTGTTAAGACACATGTCTTTTGTTTAAGATTACACTTCTCCCTCTAGATGTCTCTCGGTTATTTCTGTAGTTGGGTTACTGTCTCATTGACGTATTCTAGTACTTCACATCTCCTTTTATTCGCGCATCACCTAATTTTCCGTGTGCACAGATGGCTGAAAAAAATAAATTATCATATAAATCTGATAGAACTGCCAGTTTTGCTTTGTATCACATATAGCGGATTGATTTGAATGTTTTCTAATTAAAGTCTTGTAGCAAATATTTCATGCATATTCAAGAGTACTACAGTAATCCCAAGACCTTTGAGAATTTGATACCAAAATTACCCATGTTTTTGTACTTTGTGACAAAGTTACTGCGGCAGTTATTAGTCGTTCTATACCTTCTATATCTTCTGGTAGTCAAGTCAAGCGCGAAATAAAAGAATTTACACACAAACCATTTTGGGAAATTAGCACAGACGTCCTTGCACGCTCTATGTAAGTCTTACTAATTTTCTGGAGACAAATTCAAATGAGCGAAAAGTATTTATAATTTCGTGGCTCTAAAAAGAGCCGTTTTCAATATACAATTGTCTTTGTTCTGTAATATTCTGTCAGGGTTCAATCACTTTAACTGCTTCTTCGACAGTGTTATCTGTTGATTCTTTCTCTTACACTGCAGTGTAGACCAATTTCTCAGATCCTCTACCAGTTTTTCCATTAGACCACCGATTAAATTGACTTCCTCACTGCATGGTCAACTTAGTGGATTTTTCTCCATATTCCAGTTACATCTGGTAACATCGTGATGTCAACTTCGTCTTACGACTGTTTTCTCCCTCACGGAATTGTTATGCAGTGTTACTCTGACTTCGACTGAAAGCAGACTTTAGCAGTTTTAATCGTTTACGATGAAATTATAATTAAAGTCTCTTTTTCTTGGAAATAGTGTAAGCTAAGTCACATAAAATGGGGAGGCATGTCTATTCGGATTTTCTTTTCCCTTTCCTGTTTGTTGAAATAAATGTGTAGTTTACCATTATCATAAATTAGAGATTTTTTATTGCAAAACAATATTACTAGATTGTAGTGAAGTTATTTGTTTGACAGTTTGTTTGTGTGATGTTTCTACATGTAGGTATTTACTTATCTTGAAGACTTTGGGTCTCCTTTTTTATTTACAATGTGATAGATTGTTTAATCATCAACGGTCCTCATTGTGTGTTTTTGTTTCACTGTTTTTGTGAGAATACGTCTTTTCTCGTGTTTGATTAGATTGTTTTTTGCTTTAATATATGACCTCGTGAAATAATCGTAAAATAATCTTTAGTTTTATCGTAATACTACTTGATACTTTTCATAGTTTTATTGCATTTTAGTTTGTTTATTTAACTGATGGGTTAAGGTTTTGTAAAGCTGTTTTGTACCACAAACATTGCTACTATAATTAATACCGATAATATTGTGAATACGGGTATCGTGATGCCAGCTGTTTTCAATATCAATAGTATTCTGAAACCGACTGAACGAGGTCATTGCATCTGACCAGTTTTTACTTTTAAATTGTTTGATTTCCAAAGAAAATGTAACATGCAGCCAGATACCGTCGGTAGAACTACAATCGCAAATGAAATATTGCATCTTGTAAAACGACATTCTAGTTGCCAAAGGGGAGCTAGACTTAACGATGAAGTACATTGTTATGAGTTAAGCTAGATTTTTTAGCTACACAAATTGGGTACGAACCATGGTATGTGCTCTACGTACTACACAGTCCAGGAATCAACCCCTTCTTATTTTATCATGCACTAGGAGCTCCTTTCGGTTACATAACAGGACATTTATTATTTTTTTAAGATTAAGCGATCTAGGAGAATAATGGCCAACTGCATTATATGCATGTCAGATTTCGGTAATACTTTAGTTCCGAGATAAAATTTTTTGTCCGTGTCCGATCTCAATTTACACGCAGATGTTACAAAATGTACGTGATAACGTGAGAAACATATGCAGTGTTGGTATCAACACTATTTCTTCAACATACAAAAATTAACTTGTTGGTTATAACATCTTAACGTTGAATTCTACCAGGATGAGGGGGTCGAAAAAGAAAAGTGTAGTAGAATATTATAAATTAAAATCTGTTTTTATCATTTAGTTTGCTTACTTTGCCAGTGTGGAAAAACTAGACGGGTGCTAAGAAAAATTGTGTCACATGATACGACTTTTTAAACTGTTCGTAAAACATTTAAAGTTGACACCATCGTATATTTTAAAAAACATAAGTTGTAAGAATCCGTACAAGCCAATACAATCATGTAGGTACGCGTATAAATATAGATAAATACAAATGAAATCAAATATAATATTTTATTAACAAATATATCCGATGTATAATAAATAACTTAATATGTTTTTCTCTAATATCAACCTCCTTTGGCAAGTATAAATTATCACAGATTTATTCCATCGTCACTACCAATCGGCAATCCTCGGGTGAATCCGGTACTCTCCTTCTGGAGGAACGGAATCGGCCGAGTTTAGACGAGTGTCGTCACTACGTCAATTGCTTACTTTACTATATCTATAATATCAGGAATGTGTTTTAACAAAAGCTCACCATCACAAAATAGTCATTACTACTTTAAAAGTTCTCCAGTCATTGTTTCATTTCCAATTAAATTTCACATCTGACTGCTTCTTTCTTTTTCCAAATTCTTAAAAATTGTCATGTTATAATCATAAAAACATATAATTATATCGATAGATATAATCACTTTAGATATTTTTGTGATGAAAGTGTAATAATAAAATAAAAATAGGAGGAGGATGAGGAGGCAGTTTATGCTTAGGAACTTCAAATGAAACCTCTATCTTTACACAGCTTACATTTATAGCACTGCCAAGTGCCCTAGTTCAAAATTATGTATTAAGGGTCAATTTGAATTTTCAATTTTTCAGAAAAATTCTACTATTGCATTATGGAAGCTTTGTAAAATGTCTTACATAAACATAACATTAACTAACAGCTTGTTTCTCGGGTTCTCATAAAGTCAAACCATAGTATATATCGTATGTTTAACCCCTTTTTCGAACGGCCTCAGTGGTTTGTATGATATATTCCTTATAGCTATAAATAACCATTGTATTAATTTAACATCATGCTGATATTGCAGTCGTTCATAAGTATACTATTTTGATAATAATACAAAAATATATATCGTGATCTACAATATCCATAGGGAATATATCATAGAAATGTAAACATGGAGTCATTTCCTGTTATATCATAAAACATTGAGTCATTTCCTGTTATATAAACTAGAGTCATTTCCTGTTATATAAACATGGAGTCATTCTTGTTATGTAAACATTGAGTCATTTTCTGTTATATAAACATGGAGTCATTTCCGGTTGGTTTAGTAATAGTGCGTTTCAATATCGTTCATTAGTTCTTCCTCGGTTACATCGTATCTTGGAATGGATCTGGAAAACAAAATTACATTTCTTACTACTATATTTTTGTATAACTACGCATTAAGCCAGGAATATAGTACCTTGGCTGTATTTGGCAAAACCTTTGGAATTTTGGGTCCTTAATGCTCTTCACTACTTTATTATAACTTTTTTATCGAGCGTCACTGCTGAGTCTTTTGAAGACAAAACGCGCATCTGGCGTCAAATTTTAATCCTAGTATCTATGAGTCTAATTATCATCAAAATCGAAAGCGGTAAATGAACAAAACAGCATAAACAACAAATCATACTGTAACATTAATCCGTTAGAATGGCATTCGAATCTATTATCTTGAAACTAAACTAAACGGTCGTTGGGTGCTTTCTGTCATATTTGTTTCGTTTTATTGTTTTGTCATAAATCAGGCCGTTGGGTTTTTCGATGGAATTGTTTCACATTTGTCTGGGCCTTTTCTATCTGATTATCCGGTATTGGTTTTGTTTTCATTGTTGAAGGGCGTGCGTTGGCCTATAGTTGTTAAAACCTACGTCAAATGGATTTTTAGGGATATAAAAGATAAAACGTCTCATTGGCAGTCATACCACATAATCTTATTTTATATTACTTCTGTGCATTGCTTATTAACGTTTCACATGTGGGCACAAAAGAGAGTACCTACATTCCTAACTGACTACACTTTGTATATAGATGTTTATTCAATGAAATAGCCAGCAGCATATTTACATGTGAATAAAAGGATATATGTGGTATATATCTATAAGAAAATAATCAAACACAAATAACCAAAAGACATCTAAGGTCAAAATTCAGTCTTCAACAATAAACATGTGTTTATACAATGTTTGGAGTTGTATTTTGGTCCTAGTCTTAATTCAGTTGTTACAGAAACTAACACAAATCGGCCATCAATCACTCAAAATTACAAACACTATTGATTTTGTGTACTACGTGTAGGGATTGTGTGTAGTACCTATAGGCATTTTGTGTAGTACGTGTAGGGATTTTGTGTCATGATTAAACTAATACACCATATCCTTCCTTTCTGTCCTTAGCTGCGGAACCGTAGCTCTTAGGTCCTTATGTTATTTTTTGACTATTTGCGGACCATAGAGCTACGGATTTTTCCTATTTCAAAACGTTCGGAATTGCGACCCAGGTTCAGGTCGCACTTATTTCCCAAAAATTTATTGATTATCGTCCATGCAAAGCTTGTCAATATATATAGTTCGTTTCGTTAGACATTTTTCTAGGATATGACGTACCTATTTATGTTTGAATATTCATTTCCTTAACACTATTATCTAATTATTCACATTTGTATACATTCTCCGCCTATTTTGTTCAGCCATATTGAATCTCGTCGTGACGTCACGAAAAACAAGAAAAGATAACTCTAATATCCTCGATCTCCTATGTTGGAGGTGAGGAACGCCTACGAAAAACAAGAAAAGATAACTCTTTTAATAAAACACGTGTTGGTTTGTTTACTTATTTCTAAGCGAGAATCGAGTGTTTTGAAGGCTTTACAACATTAATTCATACGAAATATTTAAATTACTGGGAAGAATTATTATTTTCGTTAGTAAGTAACTTTAATTACACGTTATTTCATTCAAAAAGTCATAAAAATTTAATAAAAGACAACGTAAACAAACCAACACGTGTTTTCTTCCAAGAGTTATCTTTTCTTGTTTTTTGTGACGTCACTACGAGATTCAATATGGCTGAACAAAATAGGCGGAGAATGTATACAAATGGGAATAATTAGATAATAGTGTTAAGGAAATGAATATTCAAACATAAATAGGTACGTCATATCCTAGAAAAATGTCTAACGAAACGAACTATATATATTGACAAGCTTTGCATGGACGATAAACAATAAATTTTTGGGAAATAAGTGCGACCTGAACCTGGGTCGCAATTCCGAGCGTTTTGAAATAGGAAAAATCCGTAGCTCTATGGTCCGCAAATAGTCAAAAAATAACATAAGGACCTAAGAGCTACGGTTCCGCAGCTATTCTGTCCTATGACATGCATGTTCGTTAATAACACAACGGGTGCCACATGTGGAGCTGTATTTGCTTACCCTATCGCGTAGCATCCGAGATCATCGGGGTTCATGCTGCTCAGTGTTGTGTGTTGTATACTGTTGTTTGTCTTTTGGTCGTTTTTCATTTTTTGCCATGGCTTTGTCAGTTTGTCATCAACTTACAAGTTATCCCTTGGTATCTTTCGCCTCCCTTTTGCAAAATTCTATTCTTTTCTTTCATTTATTAACTAGACGTAGTGTAGAAAGTCATTTATTAACTAGACGTAGTGTAGAAAGTCACTTATTAACTAGACGTAGTGTAGAAAGTCATTTATTAACTAGACGTAGTTTAGAAAGTCATTTATTAACTAGACGTAGTGTAGAAAGTCATTTATTAACTAGACGTAGTGTAGAAAGTCATTTATTAACTAGACGTAGTGTAGAAAGTCATTTATTAACTAGACGTAGTGTAGAAAGTCATTTATTAACTAGACGTAGTGTAGAAAGTCATTTATTAACTAGACGTAGTGTAGAAAGATTATTTGTTGTACCGTAATTTTTGCCTTTTTATCCTCATTGGAATTTATAACTATTTTTTTTTCAATTAAGGTGGTACCCAACACCTTGACTAATATTAATTTGGCTCGTTTAATTTTCATATAATTTTGACAAAATGTTTACTTTGATCCTATGACAAAAATATAAAAATTTCAAAAAAGGAGTAGGTTCAATAAGACCCCTTTTTGGCCCCAAAATATAGCAGTTTTACAAAATTTTGAAAATGTAATCTTTTAGCTATTTATTGGAAAGTAGAATGCTTCTGCTACATAAATATGTGCTGTTTTTGACAATACAATGCACATATATCGGGTACTAGCATCATGAAGTCATGCTAAATTACTGAAATCTTCACAATTTTAGCATTTTGGTTAGATTTTAGATGGTTTCCATCTTAAATGAAAGTGGCCGCATTCGTGTTCATTCATAATATTGAAATGTAAGTTCTATTTGATGATAATACAAAACATATATAAAGGTTGAGGATGAACACGGATGCGGCCACTTTCATTTTTGACAAAAACCATCCGAAAAGTGACGTTTTCTGGAATATTTGATAGATTTTTCATATTTTAGCTTGAATCGAAGCGTTTTTAATGACTACATCAGTTAAAATATGTCACATAAACTAATTGAATCAATTGAAATAGACACTTCAGTGTTTAAAAAGTGTCTAAAATCTTTCGTTAGATGAACCTGAAATTTGAGGCCAAAATCGGCCCTTACTGGACCTACTCCTTTGAACCAACCACTTTATCAGAAAAATTTCTTTGGTTATATAGCAGTTTGACAAACACTAATTTTGTTTATTGAGAAGCTTAATATTTCCTTAACAATACAACGTAATTAAAACGTTTAGCTGATTTTTACAGAGTTATCTCCCTGTAGTGTTAGGAACCACCTTAATACATGTACAAAGATATGGTTTCTTACTTTTTTCTGTTGTAATTCGTTGTTTTGTAGTGAGTGTCGTCGTCCATGTGATTGCCAAACGAGTAATCTGAAGATGAAATGAAAAAATAAATGCATTTAAAGGACAACAGAATATTATTTAGCTTTAAAAAGGTAGTTTTCTCTTCTTTAGTTATGGTAACTTTGGTAATTTGAGTTCAAAATTGGAATGTGCTAAGCTTATAATTCTGTTGTTGTTGTTTGGTGCTGTATTTCATATTTGTTTTACGTTTACTGTTTTGTACATTGATAAGGCTGTTAGTTTTCTTGTTTGAATTGTTTCACATTTGTTATTTCGGGACCTTTTACAGCTTACTATGTGGTATGGGTTTCTCTCATTGTTGAAGATCTAGATCTAGTCATTTGGTCTGTGGTGGAGAGTGGTATTTTTGGCAATCATACCACATCTTCTTATTTTTATATAAAATACTTTGCTAATAATTGTGTACAGTTGTCTTTTGTACCTAGATATTTTCCACTTCGATGGGTTATATCTAGAATATAAGAAATTGAAACTTTCCTCTCAAAATATCCTCACTATTGAGAAAATCGTTTTGAATTTTGTATATGCTACGTTTTTATGTTTACGTGTAAAGCTGTTAACACATCTTTTGAAAGAAGGTTTAATGAACATTAAAAACATGATTTGTACACTAAACAAAACATGCATTCTTAATTCTGGGGAAAAAATATGTACCCAACAGTGGAAAACACACAGATATACACTTGCAGATCAGATTAACAATGCGATACATTTGTACCACGATTTTAAAATATTGACAATCTTTTGCTTATATTAGGGTTTGGATGGGGGAGGCGTTCTTATCTGTAATATCTAAATGTCTTGGGATTTTTCTCTTATTTGTTCTTACCATTATTTTCTTTTTTTATTTGTTGCTCATATTTTTCTCTATTTTTTTTATTTTTTAATCAATAATTCTCTAGTCGCCGAACCCGACCGAGACCGTCTTATTTGTCATAGATAATTTTATGGCAAATAAATTTTAATTTGTAATTATATAGTTTCGAGATCTCTACAACAAATCAATATGCCAGTATGACTTATTATTAGTAAACATCTCAAAATATTAAATTGTTCTTTCGAAATTTCACCTTTTCTTTATAACCAAGTTCAGTGCTTTTGCCTCTGCAAATTGTATTGTATTAGAACGTATATAATGTTTATCAGTGTTTATAACACCGAATTTATGATTAAAAACAGTGTGTAAATTTATGGTCTGTTTGTATATGAAATCATTTTATTAATATTATATAATATTTTCATTTGTTAAAAGTAATTTGTTAGGGTTTGACCACCTATTGCTAATAAAAACAGTTTATTTAATAGTACAAAGAGAACGAAAAAAAAACAAACAATAAAATATGCGTCATATAAAAACGAAAGAAAACAATTCTAGGGACTGTTAAGTCCATCAATTTATCCATTATAGTTTAAGTTACATATGCATCTTATCATAGAAACGAAACCCTAATCTCTTATCTGTCTGAGTCTCGAAATTGAGTGAACCAATTTAAAATAGACTATTACATATCTATCACCAATACCAAACATTCCCAAATCCAATGAATATACAGAAAAAACTACAATCGACTAGGCTTCTGACTTTTGACAGGCACATTTTCGCGGATTAAGGTAGTATGGGTGTCTTTCGCCATCTTGGATTGTAAAATAGCAGATCACAATAGGTCCAGATTTTCAATCAAGTCAGCATAGTTTGATGAACGAATGCAATTTACTAATGTGAATTTTCATTTAAATGAACACATGTTCAAGATTTTAACTTATAATTATTGATATTTTTACAAACATAGATTATTTTTGCCTACATATTCGATTACTTTAAATTGACTTCTTAAGGATATGTAACTTTGAAATAGTATAATTTTTAAAGAAATCTACATGAATTTTTTTTAAGTTCTATGTTATAGCAGGAAAAAAACGTACGGTGACCATGTCTTTTCTTTTGCTATTCTAAAAGCATTTTTGTTAGAGCTATTTTTTTCGTATTTTATTTCACAATTGTATCATTTAGTTTACCTTCTATTTACATAACGATGTTTTTTTCCTGTATAATCCATACAAAATGTGTCATTTTTATACAACCTATAGTTTGAAAAAAGCACGTTGGCCTATCATTTTTATTATATTTCTTAACATTAAAGTAATGACTGTAATATTTTTTTTCTATCTATGGAGAAATAACATTACAAATGTGGTGCACACTGAATAACCCGCATTTTTGCGGTTGTTTCGAATAGAAAGAAAAAATATTACAGTCATTCCTTATAATTGAATTCTAAATTCAATTTTTAAGGAGTAAATCATGAAAAAACGTTGATGACGTCACGGTCACATGACAAAATTATGTCTATAAGCTGATAAGACAAAAAACTTTCAGCCAATCAGAAGACGTGTTGCATCCAAAATTAAATTATATAACAATATATACTTCATTTTGGCATAGTATGAACAAATTCTATCATTTTTCGTTGATACTCCGATACCAACTTAAACTATTCTTGATAGATCTCAACCCTCTCCCCTTTTTTTAAATTTCGATCAGTACAGTAACAAAGGGTACAATAAAAAATGTGCAATGTCAACATCGCACAAAAAACACTTAATTATATAATAACAGTATAATTGATAGCAAAAACCCTAGTAAACGAAAACAATAATTAACTATACCGTGTATATCAAAGAATGCTCAAAGTTACCGAGAAAGTGTGCTTGGTTTTAGATTTGAAACTTCGTGCATAAATATTATTTGAACAAAATGAACTAAAAATGGAATCGTTTGCGTTATATTGCAAACAGACATGATTTCCTTTGCCATTTGAACGTTTCATGTGTCTAGACGAAAAACGAATGGACGCAAATATACATGGAGAGAGAAATTGTCGGATTTTGCCAGTGTAAACTTATCGTTTAAACATGCCACCGTTTACTGTGCGGATTGTACAATTAAGGAACAGAAAATAGTCGACATTTTATCGTAGAGCCATGTGAAATAATTTATAACCGACCAACCAAACACACTGATCAAAAATGAAAAATAAAAAATTTAAATCCACATGACAATACATGTATATCAATGCGGTTAATCAAGAGAGGTACAAAACGGACAATGAAAAACGTATTCGTCCGAAGAGATACCTTGCAATTGAAACTTTGGACAATTATATATTATACATATACAAACATTTGATCACATTAATTCCCACGTATATACTTAACACTGTCTAAATATTTACTCTAAACCAATTCATTGCCATTTAAAATCATTTTGTGTGATAACTTGTGGACCATTTTCTGTTTAAAATACCATTTAAACGTACAGTAAACAAAAACCAGTCCGATGGATATTAATGACGAGATAAAATGCTGTAATACGTTCTACTTAAGCAGTTTTTACACTATGGAATTATGGGAAGATCGCATATCAAACAAATAAAAGAGTTATAAATAACACAGTGTGTGTTTAATTTAAGGTTTTTGTCACAAAACGGCTCATTACAGTGAAGTATGTTCGTTTTTTTTTATATTTCAAACTATTATATTTAGCGGTTATTAGACTTAGTTCATATCAAGTAGATAGAAAAGTGACAATTAATAAAAAAAAAAAACTGCCACGAATCGAAAACAAGACAATACAATTGGCCAATGAAAGTAGGAAATTGTGTTAATTGAACAAATACCACGGACCACTAATTAAAAATAAAAAAATCAATCAAATCAGAAGAGAAGTTTGGTGATCCTGAAGGGATAGCACTTCCTCCACGTATATAAAACCAAGGGGGTGAAGTATTTAAAAAAAAACTCATCATGGATACCAGGTCTGTAATTTTGTTCGCCAGACTCGCGTTTCGTCTACAAAAAAAAAATCATCAGTGAAGATCGAATAAAAAAAGTTAAAAGGCCAGATAAGTTAAGAAGTTAAAGAGCAGTGAGAACACATAATTCAGGAAGGTATTGCCAAATACAGTTAAGGTGGTCTATTCTTGGGGTAGAAAATCCTTACTTTTTCTAACAATTCAAAGTTAAGTCAACAGTTAGTTTTTAAATGTAGTAACCATATCAATGGCAATACAAAAGTGTCAATGTGACAACTACCTACCAGAGACCAGATGACAACTATGGAAAACTACATATTAGCAACACAAAAACTCTAGTCACCTAAACAGGTGGTGAACTTGCGGGAGCCTGATGAGTCAACATTTCCTACGTAGATTATATCAGCTACATAGGTCATATAATTTATAAAATATTAAAGTACGAATATATGCCATTAAAGACGATAGGAGAGTGTGATTGTGACTATAAAAACATATCAGTGGTCTTTCTTGACAAAAATATTCCAGTAGTCAGCCTTGGCAGAGATATTTCAGTAGTGATCTGTAAAACAAATATTCCGTAACAGTCAATCCAATAGACCACTTTCATGTTATGTCCTTCACCGGAAAAGTTCGTTAATTATGCACGCCTTAATGACGTCATTTACCGGATAGATGGGATTGCCTGTATTCCTACACTATTAAAGTTCATCAAGCGTCTTTGAGATCATCATTATGCAGGATAAACTAGAAATAATGTTTGTCCATAGGTACTTAACACAATTCCCCAATGACAGCAGTGCTGACTATTAATTATAAGAATTTAATTTGCCTAATAATTCGTGCAATATAGCATCGTATTTTTCCAACCGCCCGCTCAACATGGGAAGGAAGTGACGATGCCCCTAAACGCACGAATGATGTTCACTAAAACCAAAGTTTTTGACGGAAATGCAACGCACTCGAAAGTGGTCAATTTTAATCGTAGTCCAAATAATTATATGACTTGAAAGGCCATTTTATTTTTATTTTCTGTGACGCCTTCCTACGACCACAGAAAAAAAAATTGAAATATCCTTTCAAGAAGTCATAATTATTTGGACTATTATATTCAAAATAAGGAATCGATAACTTTGATATACCAAAATAGTTCTTGCTCTCCTGACTTAAACAACTTCTTATTTATTTCATTAA